GTGTACGCCGCTCGCGTTATACGAGCACTGTACGGAATGCCAGCAAAGTTTAACGCTTTACTTCGCACGTTCTCGCCGAAATTCGCTTTTCCGGGCCGGACTGGAGCGAAGCACGCTCTCCCGATTTACCGGAATCTCGCGCTCGTGCGTCTTTTAATGTCCGCCCTCCCGATTATACGTGCGAGTTTTGTGCCGATGACTTGCGTTTCTTCTGCACTTTTTTTTTTTAGATTCTTTTTCGTTCTCGGAACGGATTAAAAAGCGCAAACGTTCGGGGTGGACGTTTAATGTCCGGCTTCCTTTAACATGCAGATAAACGCAAGAGTATTATCTTTAGCTGTGCGATATTTTTAGCTGCAGTATCTATAGGTGTACGGTACACAAGAGAGCTTGTACGAGATTAAGGAAGAGCACGTAAACAAGTTATTCGCGTGTTTTAATCCCTCCTTCGTGTAATTTATCCCTTTGCATCATCCTCCGTTTCCTCTTTGTTTCCAAACGAATTTGGGCGGAGGGGAGGGATCTCGTATCTTCAATAAACTGGAGATTTTTTTTCCTTTTCTCGCCGGCGTACGAAAATCTTCTATTAATAAATACGTTTACCCCGCGGCTCCGCCCAAAGTGTTTTTACTTGTATCAGATTGTACATCTTAGTTCCTTTTAAGTCTTCATCCCTCCGTTAAAAAGAACAGAGTTTGCTTTATAAACTTGACATTTTCTACTCTCTCCCTGCCATTTTAGATTGAAGAACGGTCGTATTGAGAAAAAGAAAATGCCCGGAAATAGAAACTAATGTTGGAATTTCTCAGAAATTTTAAAAATAGAAGAGGGGGAAGAGGAAGATGCTCGCACTTGCATGATGCTTCTACAAGGAGATACTCTCCTAGCAGAAGCATTCTGGGGGTGCCACGGCTTTGTAGAATGTATCTACTAGGAGTATAAGCATTCTGGGGGGTGCCACGGCTTTGTAGAATGTATCTACTAGGAGTATAAGCATTCTGGGGGTGCCACGGCTTTGTAGAATGTATCTACTAGGAGTATAAGAATTCTTGGGGTGCCACGGCTTTGTAGAATGTATCTACTAGGATTATAAGCATTCTGGGGGTGCCACGGCTTTGTAGAATGTATCTACTAGGAGTATAAGCATTCTGGGGGTGCCACGGCTTTGTAGAATGTATCTACTAGGAGTATAAGCATTCTGGGGGTGCCACGGCTTTGTAGAATGTATCTACTAGGATTATAAGCATTCTGGGGGTGCCACGGCTTTGTAGAATGTATCTACTAGGAGTAGAAGCATTATGGGGGTGCCAGGCTTTATAGGATTTAATTGTAGAACGAAATATTTGAGAGTCGAGCCGAGCTGACAGAACTTTCTTTCCTGTAGAGAAACTGTCACTGGAGAATGATAGACGACATTAAAGTCACTTCTACTTAAGTCGATACACAATATGGAAAGCCTTTCTATACTTGGACATTTTCAATCGATAGAAAATCGCTTTTAATGAATGGTTAGAACCTATCCCGAATCTAATTTAGTCATTTTGCCGTCTAACCACGCTCCGCGTATAACATCCGCAAGCGTTATATGGAGGTTCTCGAACCCCGTCTGTTCGACTAATTTGATTGAAATTCGATCGCTGTGACGCTATCAAGCTAATTCGTGAATTGTAAATGAAAAAATTGCTTCGTAGAAGGGTGGAAGGTAAGTTAAACGAGTGTTATTCTGAGCGTTTCATTAAAGATTACCGTTCTTAGTAGACTCGCATGGTCGACCAACCTGTTCTTCTCCAAGTTAACATATCGGAGGTATCACGTCACAAATCAGCCAAAGCCAAACTACACGGCCCAAGAGATTAAACAGTGGCCATTAAACAGGGCTCTGTTCTCTAATTAAATCTGTACGGCGTCGACCTCTCGCGCGGGGGGAGACAGCGAAGTCGTTTTATCGTCCCTTCTCTCGATTGCGACCCCATAAATCTCCATTCGGTGCGTGGAAGTCAATAAAATGCGTACAATTAAGGGCCCCATTCCCGTCTCGACTCGTAATTAGCGATTTTTGGACTGATCTGTGCCGGTAACCAGGTGGTGGAGACGATTAAAACTCCACTCGCTTCCTCCTGAGGCTCGTTAGAATCCCTGCTTCCGAACGATAAGAAGTGGGAAAAAGCCTCTTTTCCAATCCTCAGCGCATTATAAAAGAGTAAAGCAGATGAGATAACGCCTAGTAAAAGGTCGTTAATTACAACTAGAGTGAGATTTTGGATCCTGTTGGAGCCTTACGAACAGATAAAGGATGGCTTATACCAAAAGTCGAGAGGGGCATTCTATTGTTAAGGTAGGCTAAATGCAAGAATTGCTATCTGTGATGACGATTGCACGCATCGCCGATCTTCAAACTAGTTTCGGATCCCCAGAACAATCCTGGAGGACCCGGATCATTGCGGCTCCTTTGTATTCTTTCACCTAATTTAAATATTCCCAGTTAAATTGGCACAAAAGACTGTTGCCCTCACGCATTCTTCGTATATCCCACCCTCTTTTCTTGCTCACAATAAATTATTTACATATAGATTTTTTTTAATATATGATAAAAGCAAATATTCCGTGACAGGAGCGGTTCTATAAGGGTGCATGACGGAGCGTATACGTGACAAGCGATGAAAGCATCGCAGCATTTACCCATCGCACGAATATTTTCACTCGCATTGTGCTTCAAAAAATTGCTCTTCTCGACGTCATCTGCATCCCGGCTCTGGCATAATTGTTTGATTCGCGTGAGCCACCTTTCAGGGGGGTCATTTTCCAACCCGTTTACGAACGGACATGTAATGTTTCTATTAAATTTTTCCCTTTTTTCTTCTTTCTTTTTTCCTTCTCGCATGCATTGCTCTTCCCTTCGGGTACGCCACACTGTAATGTATGGCTGAAAATCCTGAGGGGGACGTTGTAACTTCTATCTTGTCACTGCAGATGCTCCAGGTTTAGGAGGAGATAAAAACCATCCAACTCTCGTTTCCGCTTTTTCCTTCTTCCTCGTTTTCTTTCTGGGAACATCTGGAAGGAAGCTGCGATTCGGCCATGCGTGACCTTATAAGTCTTGACCTCTTAACAATTACCTTTATAGCCCCCGCGAGGTTCCGACTTCTCCCAAATCTCCGTGGACCAAGCCAGAATGCGGGTTTCAGAGCAATGACCTTATCTGCCATCTGCAGCAGTCTTAATCCCGTCCGTACGTCGGTCCGTAACTTTGGACTTGCATAGTTTTATAACTTTCCACTTCGCATAGTTGGCAGTGTTGTGTTTAGCCCCTGCAATAAGGGGCATAGCGATCTTTCGGAGCGTAACGCATCATACTTCATTCATTACACGCATTCGAGGATCTGCATGCCGATGCTCCTGGAAAAGCGGTGAAGCGGCAGTTCAACAGCAATACTTCCACTTTTGTTCCTCTCCGGAGACCCGCTATTTTATTGGATTTGAACAAGCGAGAAATTTATAGGAGTTACGCAGGCCACATCGATAAAAAGTAACCAAAAAACCGGTGATTTGTACTCTATTTTTTTATATTTTTATCTCGTATAACCGCAATCCCGTTTCTACCGAGAAAACAGGTAGAAATGCCTTCTAAACTTCACCCGATTACATCCCATCTCTGCGGCAAAGTTAGCTTTCCAGGGGCTGCATATTCATCATACGCTGGCAGGGAAGTGATCATTCCCTCGAGCTGCGGATGGGGGAAGTAGTAGAACCTTCCTCGTGAAAAATCGTCTCCATCAGCAGCTTACCCCGCGGGTTTTCTGTATCACATAGAAAACCCGCGGACAGTTAGATCGTGGATGGAGATAGGAAAGGACAAACTAATGACCCCTCCTGTCATATCGTATCTCCGGACGAGCTATCACGGACCTCACTATTATGTGGCCCAAACAGTTCTAACTCACCCTGTCACCACCTGGCCCTGATTAATGGCCGAGTTCTCCCCCGAGGGGTTGTACTCGCCTCCATTACTGACCCGTCGACTTCCTTTACAGCTCCCAGATGTCATCAAATAGAAATGTCGCCACGTCCGAAAGCGTTAATTGTAACACATACGCCACATAACCTAACCCCCGTTTCGGACGCTGCCCCGCTTACAAAGGGGGCCGTTTTGCAAGGGGCACCACAGTTTGAAAGGTGTGAAGAAAATTGGAAACGATAAGTTAATGGATAATGCCCGGGGATAAACATTAATTAAAACCTGTTAATTTCGTTCAAAAAATTCCATTTTCCTTTTTCCTAAATGCGTATTTACTCCTGTCTTCCTGTGGGGATTACAGGGATAAAGAGCATTAAAAGTTGTAAAAGAAAAAAAAAATAACGTGGGCCCGCACGCGCTTTACAGTCGAATTAATATTTTAAATTGCTGTAGATTCACTCTCTCTTCCCCCTCCTTTTTGCAGTCTCCTGTCGATTTTTAGCATTAAATTTGTAATTTAAAAGCCGTGGCGGTTGTAAATTAAGTTTTGAAAACTTAGAAGCAACAGTATCTTAATCGTAATTTACTCACTCAACGAGCGACAATGGATTTAATTGTTAAATTAGGCTTCAGATTACAGTGAATAATACATCTTCCTATGTCATGAAAGCGACGTTGTGTGTTTCATTTTTGTTTATTAAAAGCAACAATTATGTAATTCTTCTTCTACTTCTTTCTCCCCTACTGTAACTAACAATACAAAATGTAACATAATCTGTTAATTAGTTAAGAGTTTCAATTAAATTTTTATCCATTACAGAATTAAAGTCTCCATTGAAACAATATAAATTGAGTCTTTTCTTTTTTTAAGTTATAAAATTCCTCATAAAGTTTTTGTAGCTTAGTGATATCGGTCTTCTAAATCCAGTAATTTAAATAAATTTCTGCTTTTTAATTATTAACATAAATAATATATATTACAATAATGAAATTAATTCTGTGCATTACAATAATTCAGTAAAATCAATAACGTTCAACAGTTCAACATAAATTTCGTACGTTACAACAATGCAAGCGAATCGTGTACGTTACAACAATGCAAGCGAATCGTGTACGTTACAACAATGCAAGCGAATCGTGTACGTTACAACAATGCAAGTGAATCGTGTACGTTACAACAATGCAAGCGAATCGTGTACGTTACAACAATGCAAGTGAATCGTGTACGTTACAACAATGCAAGCGAATCGTGTACGTTACAACAATGCTGGCGAATTATGTACATTACAACAGTGCTGACGAATTGTGTACATTATAACAGTGCTGACGAATTGTGTACATTATAACAGTGCTGACGAATTGTGTACATTACAACAATGCCGACGAATTGTGTACATTATTACAACAATTCTGACGAATTGTGTACATTACAGCAATGCCGACGAATTGTGTACATTATTACAACAATGCTGACGAATTGTGTACATTACAGCAATGCCGACGAATTGTGTACATTATTACAACAATGTTGACGAATTGTGTACATTACAACAATGCCGACGAATTGTGTACATTATTACAACAATGCTGACGAATTGTGTACATTACAACAATGCTGACGAATTGTGTACATTACAACAATGCTGACGAAATGTGTACGTTACAACAATGCCGACGAATTCTGTACATTACAATAATGCTGACGAATTGTGTACATTATTACAACAATGCTGACGAATTGTGTACATTACAACAATGCAAGCGAATCGTGTACTGTACGTTACAATAATAGAATTATATTTGCACCTTTCAACATCGAATCAAGGATTCTACGTATTTAACGACGTCTCTTAAATCCGTCGGACTTTTAACATCATTCTATACCTTTTTCTCGACTTAATTTTTATCCCTATAATATTTTAACTACAGAATCTAGTTTTTCCATATTTTTTCCCCAAAACGGTAAAGTAACAACAGCAATAATTCACTTCCAAATCTGCCAGCCGTCCACACTTTTACACACACACACACACACACACTCTCTCTCTCTCCACGCAAATGATAACGGAAAAATCGCAGCGTTACGAAGCGTAACCCGATACCCGCAGATTTATCCACCAGCGCGACGTTTCCGCCGATTATAAAATTTCAAATTATCAATAAACAAAACCGACGTCACACGGGCGGGGGTCGAGCCTTTTATAATTAAACATCGCGGCAAAATATAGCCTATATATAAAATATATATATAAAATTTTTTTTCTTCTTAAATCCAAAAATCGAAGTATATTCGATACCGCGCGGTGGTTTTATGTTGATAAGATTTTTCTTCGGTCGTGTAAGGGATGACATTTTTAGAGATTGCGACAAGAAATTTAATAACGCTACGAGATGGGGAGAGGCGAAGCGAGATGGGATATTCTATAACTTTACAATTCAGCCGTCGCTTGGCTACAAACTGTATTTATGTTCACACCAAGTCTATCCTTAATCTCCTGGACGGTTCCGGGTTCGGATTTCATGTACTAGTAATATTAAACATGGGATTTAAGTTCGCCACCCGTACCTCCCACCTACCTACTCAGATACATAGTCATAGCTATTTTTTCAGTTTTCTATTTCTTCAATATCCGGTTTCTTCAATTTATTATTCTTTTCGGCTCGTTATTTTTTTCCTCTCTCTCTCTCCTCTTCCTTGTGTGAAGTTTATGGAGTTAGCAAAATTAATTATCTTCATTTTATTACTTTTTTTTAAAGTTCTCTCGCGTGTCGCGAGTCGTTCTCGCTCGCTCTTCTGCGAGACTTGTTCTTTTTTTTTTTTTTTTTTAACGATTCGATTCGGTTACGTTTCGGCATTTCCGCATAAGTTTCGTACGTTACAACAATGGTTACGGTGGACGATTGCGGAGTGAAAATTTGTTTAAACTAAATTTCCTTTGTTTATTTTCTGGCGAGGATTAATTAGCGAGAGATAGTCGCCGCGATTTCTCACGCTACGAGGCAAAAGCTAAGAGAATTAAAGTTTTATCGCCGTTTACTATAATAAATTAATGAATTAACACGGTAAGAATTTCGGTGAATTTGTTTTGTTAATAGTTTTCAGTCCAAGCGGAGAATAAAATTCAAATCGTTCTGTTTTTCATAAATCGCGTGTCGTCGAGCGATTTTTTCTGTTTTAAAAAATATATGTGTATTTTCGCACTCGAAGTTAACTATGACGCTTACAGACGGATAATCGAGGGGATTTGAATAATTAAAAATCGAATTAAGCTGTGAGATAGCGACGAAAACGTATAAAAAGTCGCGTCGCGTCGCTCCGATTCCCGCGCGATCGATTTCCCTCGCTTCCTAATTTATTCCCTTACAACTTATTATCTTTTTCATTATCATTTTGTACCGGGGTATATTTAATTTCTTAACATCTTGCCGCGACATAATATCATCCGCCGAGGACACACCGTTCCATTAAGAGACATTAAAATGCCTTTTTTCTCCCCCCTTCCAAATCCGATTTATACTGTTTTTTTTTTTAATGCACGTGCCGTTCGAACGCATGCCCCGTGCACATGGAAATTGTTTTCCTAAGGGAGAGCCTCTTTTCTTCTATTTTTTTTTTTTCCGGCCGTACACGGGTGGACTCGGTGGAGAAAATAAGAAAATAAAAACACGCGATCAATTTCTCAACTGTCTCATCTATCATTCTAAAACACCTAACATTACTTTCTTGTATGTACAGGCCCTGGAACGTTACAAATGTCGAGGATGGAAACGTGGAAATCCAATCCTCGTACTCAGATCTACCTGCCGAAACAGCAGACGTCGTCATTTTTACTACCCTACGTTTACCTGAGGCACGTACCGCATCGGAGGATTCTTTCTAAGGTATTCCAGGTGAGTTTACCACGTTTCTTTCACTATTTTCTTTGTTGCTTTTAAGGCAAATTCGATTTTTTACGTTTCGTAAATGAACCCCGAATGTATTAAAAATCGGTAAAGGCGCAGAAAATTTAGTTCTAAGTGCACGTTTTCGGCTCTTTTCTACTATAATTAACCCTTTTCCTTGTTACCTCCCTTTCAAAGTAGACGAGTTCGAGTCTGATGGCCGGGTAATTTAAGTGTTTTTAATTATAAAAAACGCGATTTTTATTCATCCGATACCTACTTCATTTATTTTTTTGGAGGTTTTTAAGATTTTCGGGACAAACAAGGTGCTTACTTGCAAAATATCGAGATGTGTTTAGGTTTACGCAACCCCTGTTGGGCAAGACTTGCAAATTTATTCTTTGTTTATTACTCAAAAATTAAACTTCTAAGTATAGAATTTATACCTTAATTTAAGTAATTTCGTCACATCTGCCCGCATGCTGTGTTTGTTAATAATTCGAATTTGATATAGTCAATAGAAACGACATGGTTACACGCTCTGTACTCTTCTAAATTTAAGTTATCAGAAATCGTATACTGTAAAATTTAACTGTTTACTTAATTAGTTATTTTATAATTTATATTATTGTCGAAATGTATTGAAATGTACAGTACAAGTTATGCCTTACATTGTTGTCGAAATGTACAAATTTACGTTACACGTGGGTAATGAAATGTACAAGTTATGCTTTACATTGTTGTCGAAATGTACAGAAATTAGGTTACACGTGGGTAATGAAATGTACAAGTTATGCTTTACATTGTTGTCGAAATGTACAAATTTAGGTTACACGTGGGTACTGAAATGTAAAAGTTATGCTTTACATTGTTGTCGAAATGTACAGAAATTAGGTTACACGTGGGTACTGAAATGTACAAGTTATGCTTTACATTGTTGTCGAAATGTACAAATTTAGGTTACACGTGGGTACTGAAATGTAAAAGTTATGCTTTACATTGTTGTCGAAATGTACAAATTTAGGTTACACGTGGGTACTGAAATGTACAAGTTATGATTTACATTGTTGTCGAAATGTACAGAAATTAGGTTACACGTGGATACTGAAATGTACAAATTTGCTCTACATTGTCGAAATATACAAATTCTGGTTACGATTGTTGCCGAAATGTACAAATTACGCTGCACGTGGTTACCGAAATGTACAGATAATCCTTTACACGGTTGAAAGGTACAAAAATTAAATGTTTTTTCACATTTTAACAACAATATAAAGTCATTTTATTGTCGAAACGTGGGGAAATACGCTTAACGTTGTTATAATATACAAAAATCCATTAAATTTTACGAACTTAAATAAAATATAAAGCACCACGTTTTATATTCCGTCGGAACTATTATTTATAGTTTATATACTTCAGTAACAATATAAATTATCGCACTTTAGCTAAAATAGAAGGCATAAAATGTAATTTATAACTATTATTAAAGATTCATAGATTTAAGGAACGGGATTTAAGGCATCGTACGAAGCCTTTCGAACTCCAAAAAAATAAATAAATGCCCAATTAAAGGCGCATTAAAGCTTCCCGATTCGAGTCGTACTTAAAATCTTGACCTCCCACCCACCCCTAATTTAATAATATTCAAAATTATCCGCTTTTCGGTTCGAGTTTTCAAATTTTTCTCTACTCCCTCTCCCTTCAGGAAACACGCTAATGCTTTTACTGTCCGAGACAATTTTCTTTGATAAATGTTCCAACTCGGTGATACAATTCTTTTTATTGTTGGAAAAACGTTAATGAACACCATCTTATTACTTTTCTGGAGATATCGCGATCGTGCGGATGGGGAAAAAAAAGACCGTATCAGATGTGCCCTCCATTTAGCGATTCCTCCTCCGCTGTATTCGAGGTTCGAACGTGTCATTCCATTCCGATCCCCCCCGCTAACAGGAAGCGAATCGAAACTACATCCTGCGAAAGTGCGCCGCCCCGTGACGCGTGACGATTTCGATATTTTTAACGTGACACTTTATTAATAACAAGAAAAGAAAGAGAGGAAAAAAGAATTTATCGTCTCCGAGTGTCACGCGGATGCGTTAGATACGCGCGTGCACGCACCGTATTTCCGTGCCACCGTTTACTCTCGATTTATTTATTTATTTATTTATTATAATTTGCTCCCCCCAAATTTGAATGGTCCTAATTCGACGCGTCGTTAAGCACGCGGGGGAGGAGGGGAGGGGGAGAAGAATCGATTAACGTTACGCGTGAGATAATTGGTTTAAGACGTTTCTTTCGCGAAATTGGCGAAAAAATATTCTGGTATTTAATTAGTTGGCAGAGCGGCCTAACTTTCGACAAATTGCGTGTAATTCGGTACGTGTTACGCGGGGGGAGGGGGAGGAAAGTAAAGAAGAAAAAGCCACGTTTGCGGGACCGCCGGTTCTCACGTGCGTTCCGCTTTTCGACGAGAGGGAGGGGGGAAATCGTGACCGGGCCGCGCCACGCAAGCTATCAGCGAGATAATGATCGTGATGTTTTAGTGACGTACGCGGCAACGTGACGCGAATAACGAAAGGGAGCGGGAGAAGCCTTATCAATTAAATTGAACGATGGGGACGCGTTCGTTATTCAATCGAATTTGTCCCGTTTAATTCTGTAGTGTGCCCGTGTTGCTTAATTCGGTCACGTGATTTTCGTGTCACATTAATCTTCCCCGCCTTTTCTTTTAATGATCGAATCGAGAATTTGTGTGTAATGCTTAAAGCAGTACATATTGCTAGTCTCTCTACCTGCTCTTGCATTTTGGTGTAAGTTTACCAGAACCAAATAGTGTTTGCGGAGATAAATATGCATTTTTTTCAGTGCCTTAACGAATTAAGTGTCGTCTGTGATATTTCCACCCAATCGCAGTCTAAGTAACCTTCTATCTAGTAACACTTCCTTGTCTTTATAACCGGTAATATCTGTAGCTCCCCGTAACCTTCCATCCAGTAACACCTATAACCTAACATTCCCATAACTTGCCACCCAGTGTATGGCAGGTCACCAAAACAATCCTCCTAACTTGCCACCCACTAATGACTCCCAAAATCTCCAGTGATAATCCCAATTTTCCAATCTCCGAAACCATCCACCTGGCAACAATCTTTGAAAAGCCTCCCTTGTCCATTCATGACACTCAAAAAACAACCCCAAAAGTTATTCTTTGTCCCCCTTAACAAATCAGACTTTCCTCTCAAATTCTCTGATCCTCCAGCAGAAATCACCGAAGTAGCATTAATCCTATTGCGGCGCAACTACTCCGGACGGTATCGGTCGGGATCGATAGACCGTAAAATCCCGTGGCCTCGACTGAAAAAAAGACCGCAGCGTCCTTTCGGAATTTCGGCCCGCGCCGGATTCGTTTGCAAACACGCCCGACCGTACGAGAACGGGGATGAATGACGCCGCTCAAATTATTCCTCCCTTTGATTAATGGCCATTAAATTTAGATGACTGCACTCGAGGAGGATATCGACGAGATAAATTAGCTACAAAATGAAGTAGATGTGGGATAATTTAAAGATTATCTGATCAGACAAGACGCGGTTATGTATTTTACTTAGTGGCGGTAGCAGAATTTGTAATAGATTCGGTTAAATTTCATTTTCTTTTATTGCTGTTACCAATAGAAAGACACGAAATTGGCTCGATACATATTTACCTTTCTTTCACATTCATTACACTTTTTTTTCCTACTTGATTTATTATTTATTTAATTTCAATTTACTTTACAATGAAAATAAAATAAATTATTTATTCTCCTAAATGAAATCCGATATTATTATTTCTACTTTAATTTACCGGGCAAAAACAAGGAAGAAACAAAGCCAAAAATTACAAAATTTATGACAAATGTCACAAATTAATAATGTTATTAATAATTGATAATGTCGGATAAATAAGAGAAGAAACAGCGCACACCTTTTCTTCTCTTATTTACGCAACAAAACTGCATCGTTTTGGCGTAATCCCGTTGCCGCATTTGCCGTTCTCTTATCTGGACGACGCATTAATATTAATCATCTGAACTCGTTTGGAATTTATCATCGGTTCTTTTAATATTTTATCCTCTTAAATTTATTACGTTTCCGTTAATTTTGGAAGAATTAGATGAATATTTAATTCAAATTCTCTAAACAAAATCTGCATTTTAACTTTATTTTATTGTCTAAAATGTAGCCAACGTTCTGCTTATCACATAAATCTGAAGCTGGTATCGTGAATACCAAAATACAGTTGTGGTGAGAACAATGAACTTGTATAGAAGTATTAAACTGTCTGTTCTGTCCTCTACTTTCTTTTCTCGAGATAATATTTTATAGTTTTAATTAAAGTAATTAATTATTTATTGTTTACGGTACAAATTTTTGACTTTTGCAGTTCCTTTTACTTGTCGTTCTTATGGTGACCGTGGTCATCAACATCCTCTTCATCCTAGACACGAGCCGAAAGCTACAGGAGGAAGACTCTCTTTCTGGTACTATAATAACGAAATTCTAATAATTTTTTGTGAGAATTTTGAATTACAGTTAGTAATTCTTTGTACAGGAGACTCTCCCAGCCTGAGTGACAGCGAGAAAAGGCACAACAGTTTCAGACTTCAGGAGAGTCTGCCAAAAACGCTAACCATAGAGGCGCTCTCCAGCCAATCAAAAGTTTCCGTGTCCGTAGACGGAACCACGGTGGGTCGCTAATTTCGTGCCATACCTTCTCTTCCTCGTAAAATAATTAATTTTTTTAAAATTATTTTTTATTTTTCCAGATACTGGAAGACGCAGAAGATAACAAAGGAAGGGGGATACACGTGCTGGTCCTTAACCAAGCCACGGTAACTTAAGATTTATCCATGTAATAAACTAAATAAATAAGTGAAAAAGTCCGGGATTTTGATATTAATAATTTTATTAAAATCCGAACAAATAAAGTCCAACCGGTGAATATTTAAACATTTTCTCTCTCGCGCTTCTAACCGCATTCCTTTTCACAATAGAAAGTACTTATTTTCTCCACTTCTTCACTGTTCTAATTGCATTCCAACTGTGACTTAATCAGATTATTCACTAGCAGGACAGAAAGGGGGAGAGTAAGGAAGAAGGGGAAAAAAAAAAGGAACATTTAATGATATGCACCAGTAACTTAAGTCGAATCTTTAATTGGATAGGATAGCTTAACGGGAAGCGAGTACACATGGCAGATAATTTATGGGAAAGTCGTAGAAGGGAGTAAATTGACTATTCACCAAAAAATGTTCGCCTTTACTAAAAATGTCAATTCGAAATTTGGAAACAAAACAGTCACTTGATTAAATTTTATTAAGAACGCTAAAATTTCTTGGATGCTTAATTTCAAAATATTTCTTATCTTCTTTACTATGAACGTAACTTTCAAACTTATTCTTTTAATTGAGAGAGATACGAGAAAGGCATTAAAATTTTTTAAATATACACGCGCAAATGACATTTAGGCGTATTTGAATGGTCGTTTTGTGCGATAATTTAGACAGAAAACTTTGACGTGAAGCTATACAGATGTCTTTGCTTTTTGTATTGAGATAACACAAATCCAATTGTATTTTATTTAGTCTGAGAATCTCTTATATCTGAATATTAACTTGCAGGGAAGTGTCATGGCCCAAAGAATGTTTGACACTTACTCTCCTCACGAAGACGAAGCCATGTCGCTGTTCCTGAGTATGGTCTCGGATGGGAGAATACTCATCTTTACCATAAAAGTAATTTTGATTTTAAAGAATAAAAATTATATACAAAATATAAATATTATAAGAATGCTTTTTTTTTTATTAGGATGAAGGAACGTTTCAGATGAAACCGCCGGCTCGAGAATTACTTAAAAGGCTGGGGAGCAAAAAGGCTCACTTGATCACTTGGCGAGATATGTGGGCAATGGTGACGCAGAAGAGTGGTAATGATACATTTTCCTGCTATATTTGATCAAAAAACCTAATGAACTTACTCAGCCATTTTTAATTTATAATTTAAGGTAAAATGTATGGAGAACTGTACAGTAAGAGTCCGGAGTTTAATAGTTGGGGTGCGCCCGTTCTTCTGCGCGTGGAAGTACCGTTAGTTCCTGTAGAAGGTAATTACACATTTAAGAAATTTTGAATGTGTTAATTTATTAAATTATCCTGTAATAATTTATTCCGTATAGAGAGCGAGTGCGACTGGCCAGATACGGAAGAAAACCGCAGGAGGAGGGCATTTTGCAACCACATCGAAGGCTACGGTAGCGTGTGCAGTTGTACGGATCCTGCGCCATTATCATTTAATCCTGAAAACGTAAGTAATTTGGTATAAAGTTTTGTTTATATGCTCCCATTATGAACTCGCTTTGATCTATTCTTTAGGTTCCTGTTAATAGAGTGCACGATGTTCCCGTCGCAATAATTGCCAGTAATAGGCCACATTATTTATATAGGTCAGTCAAGACCATAATCTCTTCTGCATAATTAATTTACGCCTTTAATGTAATTCTAAAATTCGATTACAGAATGCTTAGATCTCTCCTCTCTGCGAATGGTGCTAATCCCGAGATGGTTACCGTGTTTATCGATGGTTACTTTGAGGTAATTTCACAGCAGAGTTTTTCGTTAGACTTGTAAACATTCCAACAGTCTTAAATTATCAAGTACGAAGTTAAATTTGTAAATTGAATTTATTTTACTTATCGGCAGGAACCTCTGGAAGTCACTAAGTTATTTGGTCTAAGAGGAATTCAGGTATTTGAATGACAAGTAAATAAATAGTTTAAATTGTCATCGATGTTAAAATTTAATCTTCTTTGTTAGCACACCCCAATCGGATTGAAAAATGCTCGCATATCTCAACACTACAAAGCTAGCCTGACGGCTACTTTTAATCTATTCCCCGTAAGTATTTCTAGATTATTTCCAAAACTCGGTTTGTTGAAAACAAACAAATTAATTAACCGTTTCTTTCCAGGAAGCAAAATACGCTATCATAATTGAAGAAGACTTGGACGTGTCTCCCGACTTCTTCAGGTATTGTTGTCGCTACTTTACCATTATTTAATTTTCAGCCAAATTAGTTTTAACAGTTAAACTACTTTAAAAAATAAAGACAAATTTAAAAGAAGAATTTAATTTTTATTTACTAAACACTGATTTGCATACATTCTATAGGCAATAAAGTTAGACATTGTTTTGTTTTTGGTTGATTTATCTTTGAAACTCGATTAAATGAAAGTAAATAAAGGTTTAAATCAATTGAACTTTCTATTTTCTCTCATCAATACACTTATTTTTAGTCAATAGTCACCACAATACGTCTTATCATGAGAAAGTTCATTCAAATTTAATCTGATCCCAGTTTCTTTTATAATGATTTAATAGCAGATTTTCACAGACCTTGATTCGATGAGATGCGACTGTCACAGTCTGAACCGTCAGATTTCAGCTCATTTTCACTGATTCATTTGACAATGCAACGAGATCAGAGTAGCGTTAGATCTCATTCTCACCACTATTATCGGAAACGAATCAATTTTCAAGTTATATTCCAGTGCATCATATAAATATCTAAAGTAAGGACGGCACAATTACCAAGTTAGCTAATTAACAATGAATAATTGTCTAATCATTCTGTTGAAATTGTGTGGTGGTGGGCTTGTTTGTACAATACACATGACACTAAGAAGGAGAGCTTCCTGGTTGGCTGTGTAATCGACTTAAAACTGATGCAACTGGATGTAAATAACAACTACACTTGTCAACTAAGCAGGATTCTTAAATTTAAAGGGCTCGGGCACTACACGCACTCTCTTCCTCTGTTCTCTTAACGTATCCAGCAGGTTGCCTCCAATTCTCGGGTGATCAGTATAACAAACCTAACCTGACCTAACCTCTCTGTAATAGTCAAGGTTTCCAACTGTCTGGTTTCAAACCGAACTGTTCGGTACGGTGGTTTTTATTACGTGTCTAATTGAGAGGTCAAACCAAACATCAGAGAATTTCATTCAAATAATATACTGTGATAATTTTCTAATAACTTAAGTGTTTCCAGTGGAATGACTTTTTGCCAATTACTCTGATTATTGGATTACTATCACTTAACTATTAATCGACACATCTCTAATCTAAATCATTGACAAATTTTTGGGTACGACAAAGTGTCAGCAGTAGTAGTATTGTATAAATCAGTCTTAAGGAACACCCCAATTGCAAAACGGATATGTCAATAATGTAGAAAAATTAGGACCCAATATACACTAGCATCATTTACTTTCACACAAAAAATTACAGTGAGTTACAAGTTAATTAATGATAAGTTTCAAGAAGTATGTTATGCATCTTTGTACTAATTGAACATCAGTGTACTTAGACAAATTTTATATGGCTGTATGTAACACAATGCTAAAAATTTATGTATCTAACCATTTAAAAGATACAAGTGGCTATGAATGTTTCAGTTCCATTATAAATTTAATGAGTCTCCATCATATATGCCAAACTGTGTCATGACAAGAGCCACATATTACATGTTAGGAATGCAAGAGCCACATTCTCTATAATAGATTTGTGTATTTAAATATATCTTAGCCACAGTAAGGGTTTAGAAGAGCCAAGTGCTGCTTGTGAGCTGCAATTTGACCACTATAGATATACGATTGTCATTAAATGGTGCATACCCATTTAACGCTCGGTCATTTATACTTGCCAATGATATATTAACCATTATCTAAGTAATAAATAAGTCAGGTTCAATAGAAATAGCATCTCTAATACAGAAATAATTCTATATAAATTTTAAATTTTAATCTTAATTATTCCCTCTCAGTTATTTTAGCCAACTTCTACGGCTACTGGAAGAGGACGATTCTATTTATTGCATATCTGCCTGGAACGATCAGGTACAAAATCCAACTCGGATTAATGTAAATCTATATCTTTATAACATTATCGTGTTTTTAATTGCTAAAACTGTTCTACGATTTGATTTAACAGGGTTACGAACACACCAGCGAAGATCCTAGTCTATTGTACCGAGTGGAAACCATGCCCGGTTTGGGATGGATACTCAAACGTTCTCTCTATAAAGAAGAATTGGAACCGAGATGGCCGACACCAGAAAAAGTAATTAGTTTAATCCTCGGTAAATGACTTTCTCTTAAAAGTCTAAACCATGCCTTTTTCATTTCAGTTGTGGGATTGGGACATGTGGATGAGATTGCCCGACGTTAGGAAGGGAAGAGAATGTATCGTTCCTGACGTGTCTCGTACATATCACTTCGGTTCTTCCGGACTGAATATGAACTCTTACTTTCAGGATGTCTATTTTAAAAAGCATTCGTTTAATACTCAACCACACGTGGAAATGAAAAATATAGACACGTAAGAGGGATTTTTATAATATTTTTTCATTTTTATTTTAAGCCAGTTACAATGTAGAACTGTAAAACAGACGGAGGTGCGCACACGCTATTTTTTATATAGTTGCTGCATTTATTGTAACAATAGTGTGAGGAATCAGAGTTGTCAGACAGAAAACATCCTGGTTTCAAGAGACCTGGCATCACAAGGAGTATTGATGCTATACAATAATGTATAGTTGTATATTACTCACAACACTGCAAATATCTCAAACACTTGTCACTAGTAAATTCTCTGTCTTTGGTATTATTCTTTGTTTGGACATCCTATTTGTTTCTGAACTGAAAAAACACCTTTAGGCTATGCTTCCAGTCTGGTGAGAAATCCAAGAAGAGATGAACATTGACTATATTTATTACCAAGACTTTGATTCTTTAATTTATCATATCTGTTTCACGATACATGTAAGATTACTTGAGATATATCAATGTTGAGCAAAACTGCATCGTTTTGGCATAATCCCGTTGCCGCATTTGCCGTTCTCTTATCTGGACGACGCATTAATATTAATCATCTGAACTCGTTTGGAATTTATCATCGGTTCTTTTAATATTTTATCCTCTTAAATTTATTACGTTTCCGTTAATTTTGGAAGNCATTGACTATATTTATTACCAAGACTTTGATTCTTTAATTTATCATATCTGTTTCACGATACATGTAAGATTACTTGAGATATATCAATGTTGAGAAAGTACATCGGCCCATATTGATCAAAGCAGTACATTTGAAATTGTTAATACATAAGTTATGTATTCTGCATGCTCGGGTATAAAATCAAAATGTCTTTCTTCATTGTAGCAAGTAATTCTAATAAAATACATTGGCAATATTATCTGGTATGTAGCAATATCTAAGGGTAAAAATGGAGTGGTTTTTGTTGAATCGACTATTAACTCAATGTATTGTTCAGGCGGAAGTATCTTTTCTCGTCCTTTCCTTATATTGTACGATTCCAATGCAAGTTTGGTCTGTCGTTAGCGGAAAAAGTAGCCGTATGTTCTTTAGAATACCATTATCGACCCGGATCCTTGCAATTTTTCATGTGAAGTGCAGGTTGTGTTATTATTCTGCCTTCCTCACCAATACTTGTAAATATATAATTATAACACTAATAGTTAACCAAATCAAAGGAATCCTTGATATACACAGTGCACTGTAACAAGCCAACAACTGCCTTCTTACAATTTTCATTTTATAATGTGACGTGACTTTACTCCCACATCTGTTTCAGGGTTATGTAAAAACAATGTCATTCCATTCCTTGTGTAGCTTCAGTCTCACGTTGTTATTAATTCTAATGTTTTCCTGTATTTTCAGAATATCTGTGTGTTCCCGTAGTCTTCTGTTTGATTGTTTTCTGTCAGAATACTCTTAACGCTATCTTTTAAAATTTCACAATCTTCGATATTGCAATGTTGTGCCATTGATGATGATATTAAAAGTTTTCTTTTTTATATATAAAGATATATTAGATTTGAAATGTATAACTATACTGGTAACACATTCCTTAACATACTTTTTAAATACAGTTGTCCCTCGATAGTCCGACGTTTTTTAATCTGACATGCTCAGTAGTCCAACGCACCTCCCGTCAAGGTACCCGTCCTTGTTACGTGTCTGCTTGCACAGAAGCATGTCGCGATGTGAATCTCCCCATCCAATTCTTACTCGATCACACATTTCGTGTGTTTTATGTGAGCAGTTCTGTTCGAACAGTTGGAGTAGAGAATATTGTAAGTTACTGCTAGCAAAACAATGCGAAATATGTAATTATTTTCGGTAATCCGACACTCCTTTGGTCCCATACCTGTCGGATTATCGAGGGACAACTGTAATAATTTACTATTTTATCTAACTATAGTAAGTTCTAAATAATTCACACTATTATCTACTTCTTTTTCACATTGAAATTGAACATTTTTATTTATTAAATTTATTTGTTTAATGAAAGAGTCAATATCTAGTATGCTTTTATGGTGGACGATGAAACGGTCATCTACATGTCTTTAATAACTTATTATACCTCTGGGTTTTTTGATTTTTTGATCAATTACGATCATGCACAACTCTGCTGGATCCTATTGGAATACCTTCCGATTGTCGATAATATTTTCCTTGAAATTCAAAAAAGTTGTTATTTAACACCAAATTTACCAATTGTTTAACCCAATCTGGGCTCTTCACATAGGACAGTGAATTTCAAATTAATTCTAAATTTATTGTGGGATACATATTCTTAATATCTAGTGATTCTATTGTTTAGTTTTCCTTCATTACAATAGCTTTCATGTTTTTTTAAGAATTGGTCGGTGTTTGTAATACTATACTCAGATACAGGTAATTTATTTAACTCTTTATGTTGTTATAAGTATGTTTAGTCTTGACTATTGTTTGTTTTACTTTATCAGCCTTTGTCAATATTAGATTGAATTTCTTGAAACTCATGATTTATTAAACCTGCTCCTAAATCTTCCGCAGTTTTTCTCATATTTAAAAGGGTGGGTCCATTAAAATCGAATCTCAAAATCAGACTATCTCTTATACCAGGTAGGATCTCTACATCAGTATGATTAAGTACCAATTTGTTTTTCCACTGTTCTTTATTTGAAATTAAAGGGTAACTTAACTTAACTTTCTAGTTTTTTAATTTTATATTTTTTAGACTTAATCAAGGATTTTAATAGTACCAACTTAGCAAACATATACATATTATACAGTATATGTGTGTTTGTAAGCTGATGACGGGTCCTTGTACCCAAAATGCATCCTTTCCTAAGTTTGAAGGTGATTATTAATTTAAAGACTAATTTTTTTTTGTAAAAGATCTGGTCTAATTTTCGGTCGGCCTTGGTGTGATAAGCCCTCCAAATTGTTAAAATCCTAGTTATCAGGCTATCTAATACCCCGTTCGCACACAATCCACGACTCACTTCAATCTCGATTTACCCACAATCTGGATTGTGACTGTCACCAGTGGAACGTCGTGCTGTTCGCACAGGTAACTCGCTTGAGAAGAACCCGGCTATTACACGCGATGATAAAATTGACATAACTACGCGGTAAGTCACGAACACCAACAAACAAAATGGAAGTTTTGGTTAGAAATAAATACTTTTTCTTGCCGTATATCTAATAATAGACAGATGTCATCGTCTCTCCAGATGTCTTTTTTATTTTTCTGTCGATAGCCAGAACGTGTTCAGCAGCCATCTTGTATTTCCTCACGCGCATGGGATTGTGGGATCTCTCTTATGACTGGATCTAGTTTCGAGAACTCTCTCCAGTCAATCGCGATATAGCCTCGTTTCAGTCGAGATTGAAACGGTCGAGAGCGTTCGCACCACGGAACTCTCTCCGACCTTAGTCACAATCTAGATCGAAATGCTCGGTGCAAATGGGGTATAACACTATCTAAAGTCATGGGCTAAAAGTATTATTATTATTTCAAGAGAATATGTTTAATCTCCAACTTTCTCTAAAGTCCAGTGGTTGAGGAGACAAAAACCACCAAACACTGGATGTTGGTTATAGGTTCACATCTTACCAACGGGCTGCCCTGGGGTCTTCTACATTTTCTTTGCATGTAACATCTGAATACGGGCCAGTTTCCCAGTCTTCCTGGAAGGCATCCCTTGATAGATAATGTGTGTTGCATTGCCATATTCCATCAGTCCAATCCAATTTTTTCATACGTTTTGTTTTCAAAATTCTTTCGGTCGGCACAAACCCTCGCAACTAATGAATGTACTAGTGGAGATGACTACTAGTATGATCATTTTGTCTACTCATCTTTAACGTTTGTATATGTAATATTAAAATAAAAATTGTTAAATTATGCATTAAAAATCCATTATTATTCTTTTAGGTTGAAGAAAGATAATTACGAGCAAATGATTCACGATTTACTCAGGTAAGTCCGAAATCTCATATTGTACATATCTGTAATCGGAATATATATCAATATTTTTTTATTTTTTTAAATAGAAAAGCAATTGTGTTGGATCATAGCAAGTCACCTTGCGAAGAAAATTTTGTACCGGATACTAAGGTAAGAATGTTACTGGAAATTGAAGTTATATTGCTGTTCAGGGCACGTCCCGTATTGCTCGATATTTGCCGGATATTATGGCAACACTTGGAATGAAGTAACGACAAGTAGAAAGGAAGCATCTTTTTAACTTGGGAGTTGCAAAGGATGCAATAAATTGCATCCTTTGCAACTCCCAAGTATCCTCCTTCATAAAATGGCATGATACTATGTAACAGTGTGTCATTTTCTTGTTTTTTTTTTTGGAACTTGGTTCAAGTTAATACATTCCTAAACTTATGATGTGCAATCTTTCTTCTTTATATAGGGAGAAGTCTATGTTATGTTCATAAAGATGAGTGGTCCCAGAGATTTCACCACTTGGTTACAAGTCGCTAAAGTATGTTTTGCCGTACAATTCGTTCGTTATTAAATATTCTTTTCGACTAATTTGCGTAAATTTTTTACAGTGTTTTAAAGTTTGGGATTTAGATGCCAGGGGATATCACAAGGTAAGTCTAATATATTTGCATAAGAATTAGAGATGCATTTTAAGAGAGACAGAAGATAATTGTATTTGCAGAGTATGTGGCGATTATTTATGAAAGGAAACCAGCTACTGGTGGTCGGCGTACCCAACTCCCCGTATTCGTGAGTAATTTTCTCTAACATTCTAGCCCGTAATTAAACTTTTAACTTAAAATGCCTCGTTTCAGGTCCTTCAAACCTGCCAGAGTGACCCCCATATACCTGGAAAATCAGAAAGTCGACAAGGATCATCTACGGTAGTGAATTAAGACAGCATACTGTAGGGTCGTCGTTTAGCATAGAAAAAAACTCCGGCGTAGGGCGTCGGTGCCGGACGGGTCCGAGTGCAGCAAACAGTGCTAGTTATCCTAATCTCGTCTGTACGTGCCAAGTTAGAGTTCGGTGCAGACGGCCCATGCTACGACTGTGCCATACCGAGAAACGTTCCGACGGGCGATGCCATCTCGACTCCCGTCGCTCGGCAGAACGAAAGGTCAACCGCCGCCACCTCCGATCCAGTCAGACGGCAGAAGCGAACTGTGCCATAAGTGCGGGTCGGATTTCGAATGTCGCCGCGGGCATCGCTTACGGAATTTACCACCCTCTTTTTGATAAAAGTGTCATATTTATTATATAAAAATCCTCCACGGTCTGTATATAATCCCGATTAATGTAATTTGTATGTATATAGAAACACATTTTTCTCCATTCAAGCATTGTCGTGATACGGTGATACCTAGATTAGCGGGTCTATTGTCGAGCTCACTAAAACTGTAATTTGCAGCTTGTGTAATATATAAAAAAAGAATCTTTCAAAATCGAATGGTTGCATTTTTATTTTGAGAAGTTGTAATGTACAGTACAATTGAATTTATTTACAACTACAATTCAAAATGGAAGAAAAAAATATATATAGTTTCGACTATGATTTTTTCTGTAGGCCAATTCCTTGGCACTCAATCACGCAGCTTTCTTTTCCTTCGTCTGGGATTATGGAAAATTTGGCCTAGAAATAAACGAAAATTATTCGGTTGTTCCTGCACACCACAAATTTATATAACTTACACTGGTTAAGAGCTCTGCGACGTGAATTGCGGTTTCCGTATGTAGCGTTAGTTTGCCGCATCGTATCTTGGACTTTCCTTTAGCCAACGTCATCAGCAATATCAACTGAAAGTTTCGTCTGTTTGAAACACAAGGTTACTTCTGTTCGATATTTAATTGTAATATCAAATTACCTGGTCTTGTAAGTGACTGTCCACGCAGCCTCCCTCGTTAATGTTTCGGATTAGATCCGTTGCCGCAGCTTCTCCAACTTGTTCTGCGGGTACTCCTGCGATAAAATTTTGCATTACTAAAATGTATGTAAAGCGGGAATAGAATGCATGCCCAAGATTTATACCTCTCTTTCCTAGTGCGGAACTTCCTAATTTGTAATTGTTCGACGTCTCTGCCACCAGGCTAGGGAAAAAAGTGATTTAATTGAAACATCAGGTCAGGTAGAAGTATTTCAATATTTATTAGTTTACTTACATGATCCCTGAACCCGTACCTATGGCTTTCTCCTGGGGTTCTTTGACTCGATCCACTTTAACGTTAATTCTTGGAAATGTCTGTTTTAACGACTTACAGGCGGCATCGGCCATCGAATTAGCTACCTACATTGACAGCAGGTGCAATTAACAATGTATTATTAATGTTAACAAACAATGCAATTAAAATTTACCTTAATGGGAAGCACTCCCGCCACAAACGATCTTCCTGTTATTTGAGTAATTTGTCCACACTCTACCATTTCTATGGGAAGCAGAGTGTCCGCAATGGGATTAGTACGTACGAAGACCTCTCCTCCGCCTTTTGGATAATATCCTCTAAGTACGAGAAGGTTACAAATCATTTGGTTTCAAATTATTGTACCCATAACGTCATTAGCCTTACCTCTTGCGGATGTCACATTCGAATTTGATGCCGAACTTTTCCGCTATGGGACGGAACACCTGCGAATAAAGACGGGAAAGTAAAATACGTTTACCGACTTACAAAGATCGAAGTCTCGGGGCGCAGTTAAATAAAATCAGAATAGCTCGGCGGGTGGAAACGAAAGGGCAAATTCGACATCACCTACCATTAAGGTATAATCTATCTGCGGAGCCATTTCGGCATTGGTGCCGCCTTTCAGAAGCATCTGACAGGGACCGCCGGCGTATAACATGCACGGAAGTGCTGTTTGGAAGAGTAGCATTACACTCCTAAGAAGAAAGGTCACACGTTACTTACCCACAGGTAATGATCAATAGGCGGAGCGCTCTCAACATCCGTACCACCTTTTAGCAAGATGGAGGAACGACCGTTGCCATAAATCATGCACGGTATGGCAAGTTGTAGTATCAGACATAAACTTCTGCAAAATTAATGACTATAATTGTAATGACCGATGGTCGTTCCTCCATCTTTTAAAACTAAATTCAAGTTTTCATTAATTAAGCATATTTTTTACGAGTCGACGTCACATTTCGCAACTACATTCTCTGCGATAGTACTTACCCTGCAGTTCCCGTATCGGCTATAAATCTTCCGGACTTAATCGGCGCCGGATAAAAGGTAATTACCGTCGACCCGATCTGTCCCCCTTCTAATCTCCCTCCGCATATATCTCTTATCAACTGAAGGCCAGTTAAGTGTTGAGGTCTGAAAATATATAACTTTGCTGATGATATAGTTTAGTTCTGGCAGAATTCACAATTGAATCTTCGGATACCTAAGACCGGGCGTGCTCCTTCCCGCCCGGATGTTTCGGACGCGGACGGGCTTCCCCAAAAGAGCGCCAAGCGAGGTGGCCATCCTGAGGATCTGCCCTCCCTGTAAACGAAAACACACTTTTTTTTATTGTTCGAATAAACGTAATCTTATCACTACTCGTAATCTGCAAATCCTCTTACATAAATCCAAGATTTGATTATTTTGCAGAAAACACAGTTCCTCTTTTTCCAAAAGTAGATTCTAACTAAAAATCGGCCCGAAGCAAAGGACATTTACGTATCTTTAACAAAATGACAGATGCCGGCCGAAGTCTCAAACGCTCTCTCGGCATTCCCGCTCCGAATACTTCACACAGAGGAGCTTATAAATCTTCGTAGTTTGAGAGAAACTCCTCACAAACCATTACCAGTGCCTCGCAAGGAGCGAATAACTGAGTTAAGTCATAATGACAATTAAATACAGTGTACTTTGTATTCACAGCATAAATTACCTTTGCATACCTCCACAGGAATACGTAGCGAGGAATAATTTGGAAAAAGTTACCTTTGTGCATACATCAATTGTAACGTAAGGATAAAGGAAATGTGATTTATGAGTAGACCGGGTGGAATATGGAGAAAGTGGTATATGTATTACATTATGCATCTATTGCATACCTCATACAACACAGGACTGCATGATAGCAGGCAAGGAACATGTGTAACACCAGCTCTGAGGCATGTCACGGCTCTAATGCCTACACCTTTCTATTTTTTTCACATTTTTAAACGTAACGAGTCATTTCCTCGCTTTAAAACTTGCAAAATCTTTAAAAATTACATTTAAAAAAAAAATGCTAACTTACCCCTTCCATGATAGCTCCATCGATTTCGGTGATACTTTCCATGGCTACGTCTGCTAACGTTCTGTGCAAAGCATGCAGATGCAGCGACATCTCGCGGTTACGTCGCGGTGTATTTTTAAATAATTTTTTAAATTTATGCCACGTTTTCGGAATTTTTAATCGAATTATTATAAGAAATCCAATTTATTTAACTGTAAAAATATAAACGAGAAAAATTTATTTATTTTAAACGTTTGTTTTTAAAAAGTTCGTCTCGATGGCGCGGTGACGTCATTGGTGCAATTTTATTATCGGTTGCGTAAAATGAATAAAGTCGGAGATTATAGATAAACGTTAATTACTTTAATCGTACTTTCTTACGTCGTGAAATTTTGTAAATTAAAATAATAAAATCATATTTATTAATTTTGATTACGCGTGCAATTCGAATAGTCGTTTGGTATATGCTTCTCTGCGCATGTTCAAAAAACAATTTAAAAAAAAATTTTTAATTAGGATTATCGAGGAATTGAATTAGAAACATAAATAAATATATATATTTAAAGTTAAAAAATTAATTTAAAATAATTTCTCTATTATATTTAATTCTATACATTTTTTTTAATAAAAATAAAAATTTGCATACGCCAAAATAATTTCGTACAATCCGTAATATATTTTTACTTTTGCAACTTATTAAAGTTATAATTTTGCTACAAATATATAAATAAAAATCGTTTTTGTTATTATTAGATGAAAAAATAATTTTCTTTAATTGCGCTGACGTCAAGAGAGTTATCACGTGATCGTAATCTTTTCGCTAGCAACGACGGGATTATAATTCTATCATTAAAATAATTTTTAAATATTTATATTTAGTTTATAATTACGTTTTTATTCTTAAATTATTAAATATATATATTTTTACTTCAAAAAGAAAGAAAAATTTTAATGAAATTATTCATCTCTCTTTATAACACGCTCTCCTATTGGTTGCATTTGTAGAAATGTAGACGAACAACCAATCAGCGGTCGTTTATATCGGCGTAATCGAAAAGAGCGGGAATTACAAATGCGTTTAATTATATTTTATTACCTATTTATATGCAAAATTAATTAAAATTTATTAATGAGTTTTCAATTTTTCAGTAATTCGCAAACGCTGCAAACGCCTTTTAAAATATAAGGGAGACGTGTTCTGCTCGAGCTTGTCACGTGTAGCTTGCAAGTTCGAAAGCCTCGAATCTGACGCGGAGTGTGCATGTGTCAATTTCGACAAGTCATGGCGGTTATAATGCCCGATATCTTTCTACATACTGATTTAAAGAGACTTTTAAGTTATAAAATGGTGGTTTTCTTGGGTGATTCCAACACCAGAGCCATTTATAAAGATTTTGTTGCATTGGCTGAAGAGAATAATTTTGTCAGTGAAATTGGCTTAAAAACAAAAATGGAGAGGTCCTTCCTTGGAGATGAATTAGTATTCTCCATCAGGAAAACTAACGAGAGGATATATAAAGAGGAACGAGTGTATAAAAAGGACTGCTTCTGTTTCGAGTTCTACTTCATCACTAAAGTGTACGACGAGTACATGGAATACATCCTCGACAACCTGACCAAGAAGATGCCGGACATCGTCCTCATTAATTCCTGCCTGTGGGACATCACCCGTTGGGGACCGAGAGGCGTGGAGAAGTACAAAGAGAACTTGAAAGTCGTGGCGAAAAAATTCCGCACCGTTCTCCCCGAAGACACCCTCGTCGTGTGGCTCACCACCCTCCCCATCTCGCAGGACATGCGGGGCGGTGTTCTGGTTCCTCAGCTCGAATTTCTCAAGTACTCTCTCCGGTATCACGTGATGGAGGCCAACCGGTATGCCAGAAACGTGTTCGTGCAGCAGGAACTGGACGTTCTAGATCTGCACTATCACCTCCAGATGCACATTTACCTGAGGGGACCGGACGGCATCCATTGGTTATCGCCGGCGGTTAGACACATGTCTAATCTGATATTGACTCACGTATCTTTGGCTTGGGGAGTTTCGCTGCCGTCCAGATTCAAAAGATTCCATAATTTGGAATGCGTCGAGAACGCCGCGACGGAAGAATGGGAGAAAGAGAAAAAAGTGAGTAAAAAGAAACGTAGAAAAAGATTTAGGAAGAAACGTAAATTAGACCGTAGAAATGTCGAATTGTTCGATGCCTCCTGTATGATTAATCGGTCCGACGAAGCGAGTCGGAACATGAATTTGATTAATAACTCCCTAATAAATAACAATTTTCAACATAATGCACAGTTTTATCAAAATAATCCTTATACTTTTGTCAATTATGGCGAAAGTTTGGATCAAACAAGACAGGTTTCTGCACTAAATCAAAACAACACAAAATGTCCGGTTATAAAGTCGGTTTTACAGCAAAATAGAGATGACAATATATCTGTTACCATTCAGTTTAAATGAAACTTTGATTCCTAAGTTTGTAACCACATTAATCCATTATTTAAGAATAAAATTTAAACTTTTTTTGTATTTGAGTTACGAAAATAAAAACTAACTAAAGAATCTTCACTTAGCTTTGAATTACATAAACACCTTCATCTTTCAGTACGAGTTATGGCGGACTTTGAGAGAATTTGAGCTCTGTTAACGTCACTGCATTTTACAAGTATTATAAGGAAAATTACAGTACCCGAGGCGAGTAATGGAGTTTTGTGTCTTCGACGGGGAACTCCATTGCTCACGACAGGTTGCATATTACCACATGTAGGAAAACAATAGGTTAGTCGATTAAATTTTAATGATGCAGGGACCACTTTGGTCGTGTTGCTCTAGAAAAACAATAGGAAAGGATTCAAACTCAAATTCTTATCAACCTACTAATAAATTAATTAATATTTAGAATTTATGATCTTTACTTAAAGTTATATAAAATTCTAAACAATTTTATCTGTTACAGAAAAAGAAATAAAAAGACAAGTAAGTGGAGATCACTTCTGTTCAACAGTGAAGAGGCGAGATATTTTAAGTTGTTGACTGACATTTGTTCACTTTGAATTGTATTGTAAGAAAATATTTTAAGGTTGCATATTTTTTTTTTTTTTTCCTGTATGAACGTTGTAAAGTAACATTTCAGAAAATAAATTATTTTTAAAAATAATTCGGTGTCAATCGAGTCTCAATTTTGTGAAGAGTTTTATATTGAAACATACTGAAGTTTAGTTAAACAATTATAATGAAAATTACTTAATGGCATATGGGATGTGCATAAACGTAGGAACCAATGGAGAAAATGAGCAACAACTGATTAATGCTATTATAATGAACAACGCCTCTACAAAGTGTTTGACATGTCTACCATCATTGGAGTTTGAAATTTTGTTACATGGCATTCCAATTTTGTATGGATATGTCTTGGAGTTTCGGAGCTTGCACAAAACTAACTTCCGTTTTCGTCTCCTTTCCGACGGACAGCTTGGCTTTCCGCGGAAAATTTCCCATCCGTTCCAGACTTTATGCACTTCCTAGAGTTATTGTACTGGGAATTTACTGAGATAAAAGAACAACATATCATTCTTTTATCTTCCCTGCTACAATTACATCTGTGATGCACTACAATTTCACAATATAACTATTGTGCATGGTGTTACCCTACGTACATAACTGCAAGCTTCAAAATACATTAACAGTAGCTTGAGAACTATTCTTGAGCCCTGTGATCATATAACTATTTTGGATAGTATTAGCTGTTTGTTTTATTGATAAGTACTGTACAACAGTAGCTAAGGTGAAATGGCGACCATTATCAAATTTACAATGATGCGATTTTCATCTTAGAAAATTACTTAAAACCAATTTTCTAAGTATTGGTTTGGAAATAACAGTTTGAAAAATAGATGTTCACTTTTAAATTTGTGAATAATTATAAAATTTCTGCACAAAACATACTTTTAAACATTAGCAACATAGCTTCTTGTCTAGAGAATTGCAGATATACAAATATCAATGCTTGGAATCTAATACTAAGATCCTATATATCCATACTGCAGCTTGCAAGCCACATGCAACTCTTCTAGACCCTTACTGTGGCTACCATATACAGCAGAACTCTGTTAAGTTTTTATAGGAACCATTATAAAAAAGTAATTTTTCTGTTTACGCAATTGCATTTCAATATCAAAGTAATATAATATAGCACAGTGTAACATGATAGAAAAGTACGATGCACTGACTAGCAGGCACATAAGTTTCTAGTGTCAATACGACATGACAACAGCAGATAGGGAGTATCATCAAAACAATAAGATTCCACAAAATTAGTGACCATCTGAGGTGTGCAGGTGTTTGATATACAATATGATGAATATCTAGAGTTACTCCATTAAAACTTTACTGTTTTTATAAGTATTAAAGTTATGGTAAGGAAAAAGATTACAATTTGTCTCCAATGGGATTTCTTAAGTAGATAAAATATCATTGATGGGACCGATGTTTCGGAATTTCTTACATGGGAAAACTTGTTATGCAGGAAATTTTAACGTGCATATTATGGTGGGTAAATGCTGGGACTGGAAAACAGACCTCTTACGCGGAAACCTTTTGTGCAGAAACTTCTTAAATGGGTTCTACTGTATATACGTAAGATAACTTTTCAATATAGAATGTGGTTCTGATAGGCAATATATCGGTCCTGTCACGATAAGGTTTGGCCAGCCGTTATATATCACACAGTATCAAGTATCATGATATGCTTTACATTAAGTCAAGTTTTCTTTCTGGAACTAGTCTTTGTCGCTATCACAGGTTCAATCTGACCTATGGTGGTTAGATGGTTGGAGATGCGATCCAACACGTTCAGATTAAATCACTGAAAATTTTTGATCCAGATTAAAATCCAAATCCCAAAACAGCATGATGATATTGCTTTAGCCATCTCAACAAAAGGATTTTGGTTAGAAAACAACAGAAGAAACATAATATATTGGTTCAAAGCCTTTCATATTAATCATTTTTTGCCAGATCAACTGTGATCATATAATAATTCATCAACACACCTATAACCCACTAATTATACATCTCCCATGTGTCTAAAGTATACCACGGACTGCTAGAAGTTTAAAATAAATGAAATGTGGGTACTTGTACAGTAATACATTAGTGAAACAAGATGATTAAACAAAAATTAAAGATAAATTTATTAATTTCTGTGCTTACAAAGAATGCTTCAGCACTACTGCTCTCAAAGTGATAAATTTTATATCATGGATCAAGAGAGACTAGTGTTTATGTTTGACTCCACCATTGACACTCTCACCTCTCTTAGAAGCTATAGCTAGGGTTAAATTTAAGCAAAATAAACTAAGCTGTGGTATTGCACAAAAAGTACAGTTTAAATAATTTAAGTAAGTGCAAACTACATTACAATACCATCTTCGGCCACCCAGTAAAGTTCAAGGTGGCAACAGGAATTTCAAGTTCCCTCTTGTAATTTTGTCTGGATTAAAGGAGGTGTCGGACCATCCACCAGTTACTAGAAATTCGGTGATGTACCTGTATCGGGTGAATTTGTGTAAGAATATAGTATAATTTCTTGACAGTAAGAAACAATAAGCTGTAAAAGCTACATTTGTCTATGGGCTTATGTTGATTGTTATTTTATACTTTGCAATTTTGCTCAATTGTACATTTGCATGAAAACAATTTGCTACTTTAGTATGATAGCATAAAATAGCAAAACAAAAACAAGCAGGTTGACCTTTTGAACCAAAACAAACTGCTGGTTTGACCTTTGTTCAAAGGTCAACCAGCTGTTGCTAATGTCAAAAGGATCAATAGTACACAAAAAGGCAAGGATCTGCATTTGTTTGGCATCATCATTACACAGCTGCATCCAACCAACATCACTGTCACAAAAGAACTCTACTGTGAACAACTGGATTGTTTGAACACCATTATCCAATCATGGTGTTCAAACAATTCATCCAATACTACCACAACAATGCATCAGCACATACAACAAAGATGACCTTAGATAAGCTGGCCAGTCTTGGAAGGTTCCACCTTGTCCACCTTACATCTCACAATGTGACGGCATGACGTTCATGTCACCTATTTTGATCAAACTCAATGAGGTTATAGTGCATCTCCAACGACTGACATGTGCCAAGCAGTAAGGCACAATACTCAAAATTAAACAAGAAAATTGAGGTCGAAAATTGCAAATCACTTAAAACCCTTAGGATTCCTGTCATTTGTAGAGCGGCCAGTAGCTTGGTGGGGCCGTGCTAGTTTTGTAATTATGAGTTTGGTGTCCCAAATCATGGTGATATCAATGCTATTCTTTTTTACTAAAACTATAATTTTCATATTATTCTTGGTATTTTTAAATTTATTATACTGTCAGACAGAAAAACTGATTTAGTTTTAGAAAACTACAAATGCATAGTAAACAGGGTAATAAAACAATAAAATCCATCTGTTCCAAGTAACAGGTGATGAATGTCAATTAACAAATGCTACTTAACAATATTTATTTAAAAACAAAGCATTTTCTCTATATTAATGTATAATATGTACTGAACATACTGTGGAAACAAAGTCATTATTTAACCCAAATGCATCTATAATTGCATCTTTGTTCGATAAAGAACGAAAAGTTTTTTTATTCATAACAGTCATCGACAGATGGTTGAAAGTGGCCATTGGCTTTTTGAAAGTACAGCCACAAATTGGTCAGCAGACAATCATGCCACACGGCATGATTTGCATAAGACTATGGCTTGGGAATCACAGATTTGCATAACATTACGGCTGGTGATCACTAATTGGTCGGCTGGGAATCACGCCACATCACATTTGCATAGTGCTACGGTTCAGTAAGCATTAATTGGTCATCGAGCCCAATGTCAACGCTATAAAAATGTTAAGTTGAAGCAAGAGTGGGAACTCCACTCCAGCACGAGAAGTTCTTAAGTTCACTTCGGTTTGTGACTTCAGTTTTATTTAAGTTTAGTTCGACACGACCGGATATATGTCACTCTCGTCTAAGTTCGACTTGGGAATTTTTTTGTTCAACAATAAATGTGAATTCTTCTTCATGGAAAAATAAGACATCCCCTGAAAATAAGACCTAGCACATCTTTGAGGGCAAAAATTAATATAAGACACTGTCTTATTTTCGGGGAAACAGGGTATCCACTAATATATCTGAGGTATGTAGATGATATTCTCTTGGCATGGAAAGACACAGAGGAGGACTTCTCTGTCCTGAAATATTTCCTTGCAAATGTTTATTCCTCTATCAACTTCACCTGGGAAAAAGAAAATGGGGAAAAATTCCATTTTTAGACCTAAGTATCTCCAAGTCCCAGGGAGGATTAATATTCTCTGTGTTCCATAAATTTGGTAACATACGGCCTTTAATCCCAGTCACAGCTTACCAACCACAGCAGTACAATAATGCGGCTATAGCTCCTTTAATTAGAAGGGCATTTTATTGTCATCCATGCAAACCGCTACCAACATCGAGCTCACTGCCATTTGTTCAGCAGTGACTGCAGCAGGATATAGCAATTCCAAATATAAACATGTCTTGAGCAAGGTTAAAAGATCTATTTTTCTCGCCACCACCTTACACAAACCAAAAAAAACATTACAACTAAGTATTAAGCAAAAACATTAAGAAAATTCCTAGGGGATTGAACTACATGGGGGTTATTACCATATGATCAAAGAAAAAGTTTACTTGCAAGGAGTAGATGTGGCAATGTTCCAAATTAACTGTTCCTGTTACTGCCCTACTACACACCACAAAAACTTAAATGTCAGGCATTCACAACAGATTTGAAAGATATTTGAAATGTCTTGAAACCATCACCAAGTCTATTCTTTGCAACTAAGCAGATAATATACATTTTCTAGCATGAAATCATTAACTAATTACACAGTGAAGCATTGAAAATCAGATAGGATAAGGTCCCAATTAGTCCAGATTTTTGATGCTTCACCGCACTGATAAACAAAAACAGCAAGCTACAATAAGAAATATATCAGTATTCGACTCAAATCTGTAATGTTAAAATTGCATTTTGCACATCAACAAATACAGTAAATATCTTCCATATTGTTGACTGGATGATTGAGGCAATAGAGACATCAGCCTGATACTCTGGGAACCCAGATAAAATCCAGGCAAGTTTTCACGGGTGGTCTCTGTCCTGGACCACCCATAAAAACTTGCCTGATTTTCACGGGTGGTCCAGGTGAATGGACCACCCGTGTCAAGACCTGTCACCCAACATCCATTGTGGATCTTGCAAACCAACTATAAGCATGAAAAAGTGGCCCTCTTGGTGCCCAAGAGAAAGAAAGAGCCAAAAATGAAAAATATCCATGCATGAACAACTGGCCTTGTAAATCTCCATACTTTTGTGGATGACATTACAAATGTTATCTGTATAATTTATTCTAAGTCCAAAGTTAATGAATTGAATTGCTCAATTTTTTCAGTATTATGTTTCAATTCACATTATGTATAAAACTGATCTGTATTTAAAATTAAATAAGAATCATAAATGATTCAAATCTATTATAATTTATAAACTAAAACAATATACACAAACACATAATTAAACTTTTAACACATGAAAATCTGTACAGGTATCAAGTAAAAACAATACTAGGTCACGTCGGAGGTCTTTTGAGTTTCCTTTTCGTCATTTATTTCCGATTCCTGTTTCGTTTTCTGATCCCATAACGCTAACGCCCATTTCAAGTCTTCCTCCCACAATTCTTTTTCCAAAGGATTTATGTGTAACGCTCTTGAAAAACTTTTGATTGCCTGAAAAAGAAATGTGTTTTCGATACAAAATTAAATCCAATTAAAATCAAAACTTGACAATCTTACCAGTTTTATTTCTCCGATTCCTAACTGAGTTCGACCGAGAGTTTGGTAACCAACCCACCACCTAGGATTAAATTCCACTGCTTTTTCGGCAGCTTGTACAGCAGGAAACACTTCATTCAGCTGCATCAGCACCTTAAATGCAGTTAAATAAAGCATTATTTTATCCTTAAGATTTTTCTCGTTGATTACGTCTACGTAATTATATAGAAAACTGACTCCAAATTATACTAATAATCAAATGATAAAGCCAAGGTCATTATCAGGCTAGTTAAATATATGGATATTTAGAGTAAAGGTAGGCAATTAACTCGCCATCTTGTATTAGATTTAAGTTATAATTTGATCATCTATAGAACACATACTTGAGCCTTCATTTCGTATAACTTTTCATCAGTCGGCGTTAACTGTATTGCTTTGTCCCATTTCTTGATCGCTTCCCAGTATCTTTAGTGAAGGTACAATTTAATATTGAAACAAACAATTCGCCCATTCAAATCAGTCTTAAATAATCACCTTTCGTTTTCTGCCAACATTTCTCCTTCATTTTTTAATCTCAGACTTTTACTTTTGCATTCTTCTAACAGAGACATCTTTCTTCTCTTGAAATTTTGGACGTTATGATCGTCTGGATTGTGAGCGAGTTGGTCATCCTCCTTTGCATTATTGCTGAATGCATCCGATGCTTCTCTCGACACCTTCTGACCGATTTTCCTCTTCCATCCAAAAGTTGTCATCTTAATAAAGAAAAGAAAGATTTCATCATTAAGGTTATGTTGTAAGGCAGGGTGGCCAAACCTTCGTACAATAGGAGCCATATTCCGCATATCAGAAATATATGAGTTCACATCCTATATTGAAACTGTACTTTATATATAATCTATATACTGTATATATTAAAGGTAGGGGAAGGAGTCTGACTTTAGGAATAAGGATCCAATATATGGTACTGCAATAATAGTCTAAAAGAGTTGCAGTTTGGCAGTGTGGTTATAGTGTTTTTGTGTTTCACTTATTGACAAAATGTAGTGCACTATTGGACTACAGACTACCCCAATTCTGACGAATATAACTCTCAACACAGTTAGCCAGTATAGTTAGAGATTCCAAGCTGAAGTGAACTGATAAATTTTGATTTTGGGCCCTTCGCGACAGTAGTGCCGATGATACGATTCAAATTCAAAGAGTCGTTACTAGTATTTGTTTATTTCTTCACATCTCTCCACCACAGATCTTTGTCACAGGCAACCCAGAATCACAGATCATAATAGGAAGTTACGATACATGTGTCATGTGGCACATGTATCTATGTGGCAGTGTCCAGCGACCATGGGCACGAATGTACTACTGAACCGATCAAACCAATACAAGCAAATGTTAATGTCCAGAGCAACTGTGTTTAGCATGCAGCGACAACCAGATGATGCTTCTACATGATGAATGTTCAGAGCTACAAGCATTTGATCACCACTTCCATTGCTTACACTTTCAAAGAAGAAAAGCTGGATCATCTTTTATTTCATGATATAAATACAGAAATTTGCCAAACAGATGATATTTCTTATGAATATTGCACGTCTTCTGCCTATAAAAAGCTATGGTAATACAAACAGAAAACTACTTTCTACGGCAAGCATTCAACAAAGTCGTCTCGCTGCCATTTTGTAAATAACACTGTCTGGAGTGTCCACCCAGACCGCTGTTTGGAGTGTCCACTCCAGACAGCGGTCACTCACCAGCCAGAAGTGCATACAAAGATTCTTTCTGCCTATGGTCGCCAGATGCCGACACATAGAATGTATCCTAAAGAGCAGGCGGTGCCATACTATAAAGATATAGTTTGGTGCCCACTCCTGACAGTTGATGCAATGATCTTTTTTCTTTACATGTAACTGCAATACATGTAAACTATGCATGCCAGAATACTTATGATTTCTCTGTATTCAAAGAATTCAATATCAAAATTCATATTTTGGAAATTTACTTGATGATTTCGTACATATATATATGTCTTTCCTGTATTTTTAAATCAAAAAAATACATTTATAATTTAACAAAATAATTTTAATTAATGATCTGTTTACACCATCATTCCGACGCCATCTTTCTTTTTTATCGCACATGTTCAGATGATGAAATTTAACATTAATAATAGATTTTCTTTGAAGCAAACTTTCGCGAGTTCAATTCTATCGTCTGTTTTACGAAATTACTCCAATTATACGCGAAAAATGCTGCAAAATACACGCGAAAGTTTCCGACTACGTCATAAAGTAAACAATCCAAATCGGTGTCCGCGCCATAGTGTCTCGCGGCGCGAGTGTCGCGACGTGGTGAATTGAGTAAACCGGACTAATTTTACGGTATTTTAACCAAATTTATTACTTCTTATTAAAATTTGCCTTTCTTACTTTATAAATAACAACTTTTAAGGTCATAATCGGCTAAAAAAACAATTTTATCGCTAAATTTATAACTGGAAAGGAACGAATTAACACGCGATCTTTCGCGTATCCTGTTCGATGGAAGAAAAAAAAGTAAAAACTTATTTTTTAATATTTCTTCACCCATTACAGCTAATAAGAAAATCTCAAATAATCAAAATACCTTGCCAAATTTTAATAATTCCGCATCGCATCGAACAATGTTTATAGCGCCATTTTACTTCTCCCCATACCGAACACTCCAAGTATGTAGATCTGTTATTGGTCAATTTTAAGCCAATCGCGAGCGATGGAATTTGAATTTAAAAGTCTTTGTGAAAACGTGGACGTGTGTACAACAGAGTACTTGGCGTGCATATTTCCCTTAAGTAATTCTGTTATAAGGTATCATTAATGTGATTTATTCTTTAGTAATGTTAAGTGCCTTGATGATAAATTATACAATAGTAAATTTTGATGTTCAGATTATTTAAAGTTGTAATCATAGAAATATTAATAAGTATTGCAATCATTTTTCCCTCTTATAATCCAGTTAGAATGTAAACATTATAACCAAGCTTAACTCAATGATCCTTAGGCTGTAAAGAAGTGAAACTAAAATGTGTCTATTGATAAATACACTCATTGATGAGTCAAATTCAATAGATCTAAAGACAATCCTCATCTTATCCCTCCTTTTACAATACTTTCTTTAGATTTGGCTTGCTAAACTACAGTGGTATGTTATAACTTTGTGGGGCCCAAGCAAATTTGAATTAGGGGTCCTTGCGTATAGTGCCGACTTTGGGGAAATTTTTTCAGAAATATCTCTTTATATTATACTTTAGAAGATTGGTTCGGGACTTCCTGTCGATGGGAGCCAAAGGTAATTTGCCCATTTTGACCATAGGATAAGGCACTGATGCCAAACTCTTCCATTTTTTCATCTCTTTTCACATGAAACATCTAGTCTTTTCTTATTCTAAGTTCTTTAAAACATTTAATATTTCAATTCTTAGTTCTTCATCCATGCTCAGATGTTTATTCACAATGATAATCTGACTTGAACTATGTAGAAATTTTCTAGCATTTAAAAAGGTTTGTGCATGTTTTCAGTGGATGAACACATGTGGAAGTGCAGACAAACTTTACCTAGAAATTCAGAAAGCTTGCTCTCAGCAGCGCCAATATCAGACTCTTGGTTAACAAATTCAGGAAAATTGGTAGTATACACAATGCACAATGTTATGGGAGAATGGGTGATCCGCCATACTGGACAAAACAATGTGTAAAGACTGAAATAACACGAGAGTACTATATGATCAATCAGGAAGCTCAGATTGCAACAACTGACAGTATAGAAGATCCTCCACTCCATTACTGACTGAAGAAACATGCATACTATTTCCATGTGTTGTATAAGTTAGAGGAGGAAGATTATGCTATATGCCAAGCAATGTGTTATGATCTCTTGGAAGATGTGGAACAGGAGGATTTGATGATACTTCATCAAATCCTCCTGTTCACTTTCACAAATACTTCATCAAATCCTCCTGTCACCAAATGATCACTGAATGGCTCTTTGACTTCTTCCAGTTATCACTAATGGCAATTGTGTTTATCCTTAAGTTTTGGACATTTGTGTATTGAAATATTTCTTTTAATACTTAATATAAAGTAATTTATTAAAAGATAATAAATCAGATCCTCATTTCTATTCTAGGTATTATTTTGAGATGTCAATAACCACTTAAGTCAATATATAATATGGAAGATACTTTGAAATGCTCGCTGAATATAGAAAGTCTAAGTAAAATGGGAGTCAGCACAAAATGTAATGTATTAAAATCTGCACAACTTTTATTAGGTAGAAATGAATTTAGAGATATAATTTTGAAGGTCGAATCCAACAAATTCAATGCAAAGTACGTCGTGAAAGACGCATCTATACATAAAAGATTTGTCAAGGACGGAAAAGCTACAATAAAGTTGTCAAATCAGAACCTACAATTTATGATTTCAAACTGTCCTCCTAGAAGTTTAATGATATTTATAAAGACTTTAAGTTTGAAGATGCAAAATTCCAAGGCGGAAACATCGTTGACCGGAAGACAGCGCTTGCTGGCGGATAAGGCAAAGACATTTGAAGAAATCAGTCCCCTGACTGAAAAGGATGTAAATGTGATGAAGACTAACAGAATATCAGCTGTTGCATTCTCCACAACACCAAACAGTAAAAAGAGAAAAATAAATGAAACAACAGAGGTAAGAAATACATACATTTTCAATCAAATTAGCTGATTATTTTATTTATATCTGTAGATATCAATATATCTTTTCATAAATATGTTTAATGTTTTGAAAATATCCAATTTTACTGTTTTTTAATATTTCAGAAAGAGAAAACACAATCCGTGCCCAAGAATTTATCATCTTTTCAACTTACTGCTGAGCAGAAAAACGTATTGAATGCAATTCTTAGCGGTCAGAATGTATTCTTCACAGGGAGCGCCGGCACCGGAAAGTCTTATTTATTGAAACGAATCGTCGGAGTGTTGCCTCCCGATACCACGTTTGCCACGGCTAGTACGGGTGTGGCCGCGTGCCAAATTGGTGGGATAACTCTTCATTCGTTTGCAGGTTTAGTTACTGTTGCACCTTGTTAATTTTTATGTGAAGTTGTTTCCTAGATGTTTAATTAAATATTTCAGGTATTGGGTCGGGCAAAGCCGACATTCAGCAATGTATCCAACAGGCTCTTAGAAAAGATGTGGTGCAGCAATGGAGAAAGTGTAATCATTTAATTATAGATGAAATATCAATGATAGATGGCCAATTTTTTCAGAAATTAGAGAGAATAGCTCGCATAGTAAGGAATAATCAGAAACCATTCGGAGGGATACAGTTAATTCTCAGTGGCGATTTTTTGCAGTTGCCTCCCGTTACTAAAGGAAGTGAGAAATGCACCTTTTGCTTTCAGGTAAATTGTTCTTTTTTTACGTTAAAGTTTGATTTTTTGTTGGAAATTATCAAGGAGTTAATAAATTATTTTCTGTCATTAGAGTGAAGCTTGGAGAAATTGCATCAATGTCAGTTTGGAATTAACGCAAGTTATGAGACAAAAGGATGAGAAATTCATTCGAATATTACAAGACATCAGAGTCGGAAGGTATTACATTTTACTTTTTGATTTTGTATTTACGTACTATGTAAGATAATTGTGTTTTAATTGGTTGCAGATGCACAGAGGAAACCACAAATATATTATTACAAACTGCCGATAACATTGTAGAAAATGATGGAATTTTAGCTACCAGACTCTGCACGCACAAAGACGATGTCGAGTTTATTAACGAAAGTAAACTCAAGAGTTTACCCGGTAGAGAATTTTTTCCTCAAAATGAAATGAACAGAGTGAGAAACACTAAAGTTATGACGCATTAAATATTATTTTAGGTAAATCTCGGCTATTTAAGGCTTCCGACAGTGATCCGATGTTAAGCAAGTATATAGATTCCCATTGTCCAGTCGGACTGCAAATTGAATTGAAAGAAGGATCTCAGATTATGCTAACTAAAAATATGGATTTGCAGAAAGGTCTTGTGAATGGAGCTCGTGGTGTTGTAATTGGATTTGATCAGCAACGAGAAGGTATTGAATCCCTTTGTGTACTTATAATTTACTATTAACAATCTAAATGTACATTCTCTAGAGGATTACATAAAATGTGCTAAATATAGATAGATAAAGAACTGACAAATATTTATCCTAGCATCTATCTAATCTCTCTTGTTCTTGAATCATTCTCTTTTAGTTCAGTCTCTTCTTTTACCCTCTGATCTTCTTGCAATGAAGATCAGAGGGTAATAGTTACCCTATTACCCTCTGATCTTCCCTGTTCTAGAGAGGGATCCCGAGAGGGATCCCAAATTATTAATATCAATTCCCAGAAGTCAATAGATCATTCTTGGAGATCAATTGAAAATGATTCATTAAAAATTATTAGTCCAATAGGTTTTATATATATATAACAGTTCAGGACGTAAATTTGAATACTGTAAGTAGATCTTTTCTGAGAAAACAATCTACATCTAAAAAGGTAAAAAAAGGTTTTATTTTGGGGTTCAAGAACAGATTAATCCATTCCATATTGTTTCTTATGGGAAAATATGTTTCAGTTTTTGAACAACTTTTAAGAACAAATTACATTTGAAAACCCAGGTTTGACTGTATTCACACAGAATATAAGAGAAACTGAAGTTAATGGATTTATTTGAGGATAAAGGTGACACAGGATAATAGGTTTGAGTTAAAAATACTGGCAATTTCAACTTAAACAAGATCCATATTATATTGAAAACCTACATACTATGTCTGGGACATGTAGTCAGCTTTAAGTTAATGCAGTTTGACTTAACAAGGTTTTACTGTATTCTTTCTATCTTTTCTCACTTTATTCCTTTCCTTACTACTACACCTTATTGAGTGTTTTCTGTATCAAAATGAAATTTATGGTTTTGGATACCTAGTGCTGCTTTATCCTACAGGCAAAAAGAGCAATTGCCTGAAGCCCCAACAAAATTACCAATCTTTTATAAACACATTACTGTGGTAAGAATATCAAAATTAAATTTGGGCAATGTCTAGGGCCCCTAGATTGCCGGTTTGGCACAAGCACAGGGTGCACTAGCACTGCACAAAGGTTATGTTAAAAAACAAACAAGGATACCGGGGGATTCCCCAAAAATTTCCCTGAACAAAAATGTTTAAGTCAACACTGTACATGGAGCCCCCTAATTCAAATTTGCCTAGGTTCCCATGAAGCTATAACGCCCCATTGTTTATGCAAATCTAATATTTCCTTTCATAGTATCAAAGATGGTTTTTTTTTTTTTTACAAATTGTTGGATTGTTTTGCTTCTCTTTATTGGATATCTCTTTTAATTTCTTTGTTTCTCTGTATTACTGTTTATTCACTTTTGTAGTTGCCAATTTTACATTACAAATGAGGCGCTGACTTGAAGGAAAGGAAAGGCTGATTTCAGAATGCAAGAGCTGAGAAATAAAAACAATTTGTAGAAAGATTGTCAACAGAACTTGCAATATTCAATCTTAACCCTTTTTATCACAATAATAGGTTTACAATATTGGCTTTTCCGTCTAGACAGACTATTATTTGTAGTAGTAGAAAGTAGAATACAGAGTAATAGTACATTGCACCATATATAATTAACTTTTTTTGTGATACTTATTATCTATAGGAATAAAACACAAAAAATTAATTTCTTACAGCCTATAGACTAGAGACTGTAAGTTAATTTACAAGACCTTTCAAATTTGCTTTCTCATACCAAAGAATGGTCTCATATATCAACTACATTTTGAAACAAAATTTCTAGCTCTAGGCTGCTTCCAAAGGTAGATTCTCAGCTCAAAAGATTAAGGGTTGCAACTATGCATTTCCTTTTCTCTTTAATTCTATTCAGCGCTTCTGTTATGCAAATTTACTTTCCTTGTTCTGCTTGTGTATTGTGGAATATCAATATGTGTTTCACATATTCTACTTCTTCCTTGTTCCTTTTTTTACTATATCAGGAATTACTCTTATTTTGGCAATGTGATGTAATCAGTGTTGCATTTGTTCTCGGATGCGTTGCTAAATCCTTGACTACACTTCTACATCTTTCAGTGACTACATTACAGTTACTCTGGCTTTTACTATTTCCTTGACAGATACTTCCATCTATAAAGTCTATGGAGATTTTCTAAATCAAATGTTTATAATGTCCATACAATCAATAAACATTGGTTCTCTCTTGTCCCACTCACAAGTGTGCAAACATACAGTAGATGTTCATATTTGTGTAATTTTACAGATATTACAGTAATTATAATTGTTATAATAGTTAATACTTACCTAAACGAATACTTTTAGGGCTACCAATTATCAAATTTTTATGTGGAGTAAAACAAACTGTCGCATACGAAAGATGGCTTGTCAAAGCTCCCGGAGGAGTTCACTTGATTAGGCGACAGTTGCCCTTAATGCTGGGTTGGGCAATGTCTATTCATAAATCTCAGGTAATACTAATTATAAGTACATTCACTTTTAAATTATATTTTGAAGTGGAATCTTTAACACTGTGCATTTTTTTTTCCAGGGAATGACATTAGACTGTGTAGAAATCTCTCTGGGGAGAGTTTTCGAGAGCGGCCAGGCTTACGTTGCCCTGTCCAGAGCTCGTAATCTGGAAGGACTACGTGTGATAGATTTTGATAAAAGTCACGTCAGGGCAAATCCAGTAGTTTTAGCATTTTATAGACAGCTTAGGTATGCAAGTTCTGCCTTGGAGACTTTCCGTTTATGACGGTTACTCTATATAAATTGATGAATTTTTATTACAGTTATGTAGTTATGCTCAAAATTTAATTTCTAATAAAGTATTTATTTTTTTATCTTGTTTTTTTAATAAAACCTTGTGACCAAAACAAATTTTTTTCCATTTATAACTCTGTGTCCCGAGAGCACTAAGAGGTCCTTTCTTCCATACCTATTGCAGATTTGGCCAGGCCCACAATAAATTAAATTAATTATAAACTCTATACAACACTCAATACTATAATAATACATGATACAAGAAAATTAGTTTACGTGTGTTATATGGTAATTATTATACTGTATAATATATGATGCATGCAAAGAAGCACCCCTACATTGAACCTTTCCCCATGTTCAGAATGTCAGAAGCTGGAGAAATGTGGTTTGCTGACTTTGAGAATTAAATTTGTTAGCACAAGTGCCATTTGCTATCTGCAAAAACACAAATCCACACCAATTTTGTGTTAAAACATGATTTTAATCATTAGACACAAAAATTTGAGTGCTCAAAACTTCTTTAATGATTAATATTTACATTAAATTTTGTATACTCCAAGTTCTAATTACTTTGCCATTAAAAAAATATAGGTATATATTTAAATTTTTGTTAAATATATCTTGTAGTATTTTTGAATTGCATATAAAACTATAATTTTGAATTCTCCGATGCTACACATTAATCGACGTGAAATTTTGGAGGAGTTTGTGCCCAATAACATTAAAATCTGCATTATTTCTTTTTGTCTTCCAACATTGCTCTAGTGTGAAATTTAGAAATAGAGAAGGGATTGCGACTTCCCACATTATTCATCCATTCTGCCTGAAAATCCTCCACTTCCGATTCATCCATGTTGATCAACTGCTGGTCCTCCTCTATCTTCCCGGTTCTACGGTCTTTGCGTTTCTCCAAAACTCGAGCCTTCTCTCCCAGACGATAGCCGAAACTCATCTTCTCGGTTCCCGTTCTCGAATCTCTGACACACTTTCTGCTCTGTCCCGCTCCTACGGGCCCCTCGTAATTTGACACCGATGCCTGGTACGTTTCCGGTTCTTCGTTTCCCTTCTTCTGGTATGTCATCACAGAAGAAGAGGTGAAAGTATGGCAGTTGGTCGCATCTGTCGGAAAGCGTGGAAAAGGTATGTCAAACGATCGGAAGCACGATTCAAAATGACCCAGATTGCTACAGAACGGCTCCATTGCAGAACCGACAAGATTCGAAGGATCTAAATTTGGGAAAATGCCATCATCTCTAACAATATTCTTAAATATTTCCGGAGAATCTCGCTCTTGAAAGAACGGATCATCTTTGAAAGGTTCAAGGAAGTTGGAACCAAACCAATCAGATCTTTCCTTTTCTGATTTTGAAGCATGTTCTTTCTTTCTTGAAACAGGCATCTGGAAGGGTAAAATATAAAGAGTTACTTATGAAGTGATAATATTAATTAAAATCACAGTGCTAAAGCAAAAACTAAAGTGAATATTGCTCTTATAAACGCCATTTTGAATGGTTTTCTGATTGACCAATAAAAAGCTATATCCTAAATCACGTGACAGTCAAACATTTAATTGGCTGATTTTAAATAACGATTCGGTATAAAATTTAGAACCTTTAACGTTAGGCGATTTATTTAAATTTTAAATTTCATCTTTTTTTAATAAATTAAATATGGAATATTATTTTAAAATTCCATTTAAACAACGCAGAAAATTCAAATGCGTTTTTAATTCTATAAAATTCAAAATATAAGAAAATTCGCTTAATTATTTTAAAGTTTAAAAACATAATTTATTTCAATAGATTATGTTTTTAATCATATTAAAAGTAAAAAGTATAACTTAAATGATTCATTTTAATACCTTTTCGATTTTTACTTTTCGAGAACGCAATTCGAACTGAAATCAATGTTTTTCTTTTTTCCGTATACAGTATTGGAGTTGAGTGGCGACATCTGTTGTTCTATAAATTTCTAATTATAGAATATTCTTAATTGCCTTTTAAATTAATTTTATAATAAACTTTCGACGCAAAAATAATTAAATTTTAAAATAATTATTCTAATTTTTATCTGAAATAATATAAAGTAAGAGGGAAAAAAAAAAGATTTACTACAACGATATATTTGATCTGACGTAACTCCAGTAGGCGGGGTTTATAACGGTAGTATACAGTAGACCCACCTATAACACGGGTTCATATAATACTAATTCGTATAACACGGCGGAAAATTTGCGATCGTATTTGTATAAATATGCTAAAAGAGACTCGTATAATACGGTGAAACGTCATCGCCGACTCGTGTCGCGACAGGATTGGTCGAATCTAGACCAATAGCGGATATTGCACAAACCGTTGAGTTTAAACGAGCAGCGGACCTACTAAAAACCATTTATTATTTAACGGGCATAAAAATTATATTTATATTAATGATGTCTCCAAAGTTCAGCGAATTTTTCGCAAAAAAAAATAATTTATCAGGAAGCACGCGAGCGCCATTCGATGACGTGCTCCATAACGAAAGCAAGCTTAAGCAATGGCGTCGTCGAACAATGCACACTCGATAAGTATTCCTACAATTTTTTGTTTATATCATAGTTTACATTTGTAAGATAATTGTGTTTTAATTGGTTGCAGATGCACAGAGGAAACAACAAATATATTATTACAAACTGCCGATAACATTGTAGAAAATGATGGAATTTTAGCTACCAGACTCTGCACGCACAAAGACGATGTCGAGTTTATTAACGAAAGTAAACTCAAGAGTTTACCCGGTAGAGAATTTTTTCCTCAAAATGAAATGAACAGAGTGAGAAACACTAAAGTTATGACGCATTAAATATTATTTTAGGTAAATCTCGGCTATTTAAGGCTTCCGACAGTGATCCGATGTTAAGCAAGTATATAGATTCCCATTGTCCAGTCGGACTGCAAATTGAATTGAAAGAAGGATCTCAGATTATGCTAACTAAAAATATAGATCTGCAGAAAGGTCTTGTGAATGGAGCTCGTGGTGTTGTAATTGGATTTGATCAGCAACGAGAAGGTATCGAATCCCTTTGTGTACTTATAATTTACTATTTACAATCTAAATGTACATTGTCTAGAGGATTACATAAAATGTGCTAAATATAGATAAAGAACTGACAAATATTTATCCTAGCATCTATCTAATCTCTCTTGTTCTTGAATCATTCTCTTTTAGTTCAGTCTCTTCTTTTACCCTCTGATCTTCTTGCAATGAAGATCAGAGGGTAATAGTTACCCTATTACCCTCTGATCTTCCCTGTTCTAGAGAGGGATCCCTATTACCCTCTGATCTTCCCTGTTCTAGAGAGGGATCCCTATTACCCTCTGATCTTCCCTGTTCTAGAGAGGGATCCCAAATTATTAATATCAATTCCCAGAAGTCAATAGATCATTCTTGGAGATCAATTGAAAATGATTCATTAAAAATTATTAGTCCAATAGGTTATATATATATATAACAGTTCAGGACGTAAATTTGAATACTGTAAGTAGATCTTTTCTGAGAAAACAATCTACAGCTAAAAAGGTAAAAAAAAAAGCTCAAAACTTCTTTAATGATTAATATTTACATTAAATTTTGTATACTCCAAGATCTAATTACAGTGCCATTAAAATAAAAATAGGTGTATATTTAAATTTTTTTTGGATATATCTTGTAATATTTTTAAATTACATATAAAATTATAATTTTGAATTATCCGATGCTACACATTAATCGACGTGAAATTTTGGAGGAGTTTGTGCCCAATAACATTAAAATCCGCATTATTTCTTTTTGTCTTCCAACATTGCTCTAGTGTTAAATTTAGAAATGACAGAAGGGATTGCGACTTTTCACATTATTCATCCATTCTGCCTGAAAATCCTCCACTTCCGATTCATCCATGTTGATCAACTGCTGGTCCTCCTCTATCTTCCCGGTTCTATAGTCTTTGCGTTTCTCCAAAATTCGAGATTTTTTTCCCAGACGATAGCCGACACTCATCTTCTCGGTTCTCGTTCTCGAATCTCTGACACGCTTTCTGCTATGTCCCGCTCCTACGGGCCCCTCGTAATTTGACACCGACGCCTGGTACATTTCCGGTTCTTCGTTTCCCTTCTTCTGGTATGTCATCACGGAAGAAGTGGTGAAAGTGTGGCAGTCGGTCGTATCTGTCGGAAAGCGTGGAGAAGGAACGTCAAACGGTCGGAAGCGCGATTTGAAATGAACCGTATCGCGGAATTGCTCCATTGCAGAACCAACAAGATTCGAACGATGTAAATTTGAAAAAATGCCAGCATCTCTAACAATATTCTTAAATATTTCCGGAGGATCTGGCTCTTGAAAGAACGGATCATCTTTGAAAGGTTTCAGGAAGTTGGAACCAAATCAATCAGATCTTTCCTTATGCGATTTTGAACCATGTTTTCTCTTTTTTGAAACAGACATCTGGAAGGGTAAAATATAACAAGTTACTTATGAAGTACTGTATTATTAAAATCGCAGTGCTACAGCATAAACTAAAGTGAATATTGCTCTTATAAGCGCCATTTTGAATGGTTTTCTGATTCAACAATAAAAAGCTATATCCTAAATCACGTGACACTCAAACATTTAATTGGCTGATTTTAAATAACGATTCGGTATAAAATTTAGAACCTTTAACGTTAGGCGTTATTTATATTAACGTTATTTAAATTTTAAATTTCTCCGTTTTTTAATAAATTAAATACGGAATATTATTTTAAAATTCCATTTAAAAAACGTAGAAAATTCAAATGCGTTTTTAATTTTATAAAATTCAAAATATAAGAAAATTCGCTTAATTATTTTAAAGTTTAAAAACATAATTTATTTCAATAGATTATGTTTTTAATCATATTAAAAGCAAAAAGTATAAGTTAAAGGATTCATTTTAATACATTTTCGATTTTTACCTTTTCGAGAACGCAATTCGATCTGAAAGCAATTTTTTTTTCNTTTTTTTTTTTTTTTTTTTTTTTTTTTTTTTTTTTTTTTTTTTTTTTTTTTTTTTTTTTTTGCACGTCGAACCGATTTTTTTCCTTTTCCTCCTTTTATTTTTCGTTTATTTATTACTTCCTTAAACTGGAAGAATTCGAAATTAATAGTAACTCTAAGAAAATGTCAAAGAAAAAAGGGAAATTTAAAACTTCCCTAACGGACGAGAATATACCTAAGACGAATTTTAATTCGCTGAATAGGTTTCAATTGTCTTTATTGAACAGTGGTCTGTTACCCGCTGCAGAAGCCGAAAAAGCTGAAGGATTATTGCCTTCTAAACCCATGGAGTTTTCTAAGTTTGCCAAACACGTTGGTCTCTTAAGAAAATACGACGTGTTGCTCCGCATCGAATTCCAGGTGAGTGATTGCTAGGCTGTTTTTTTTTTTTGAGGATGACGTGCTCCATAACGAAAGCAAGCTTAAGCAATGGCGTCGTCGAACGGTGCACACTCTGTAAGTAATCATACATTTTTTTGTTTATATAATAGTTTATATGGATTATTCCCAAAAAATTATACGTGTTTTGGAAATATTGAGTAAAATTAGTCTAGAATCGATTAATTATATGGAAGAAAACCTTTCAAACAGCCGTAGTTCGTAAACTGCACACGTGCCGGGCTGTGATTTGCTCATGTATTTAAGTAACTTGTAAAACACGGAATTCATATAAAACGGAACGTATCTACCGTGTTATGGGGGGTCTATTGTATATACTATATGTATACTATACATATCACTATATGTCAACTACAGTAAATGCCTCAGGTTGCCGATAGCTGGCGTGAGAGTCGTCAGTAAGCGAGGAGTTTGTTTATCTATTTGGTTAGTAGTTAATTCAAGCATTTTTGGAACTTTTTTTCTACTGTTCTGTAAAAAAAATCATATTAATTGATAAACAAAGTTCAGTTATAAAACGAAATTTAGCTCTCTTAGTTTATCTTCTGTCTCTATAGGGACGGGTGTGTGTATATATATATATATATATATACACACACCCGTCCCTCCGTCCCACCGGCCCATTGTGGGTGAGGACATCAGTCGTAGACAGACACACACATCACTTTATTTCCTTCGTTCTTCCTCATCTCTCCCTTCCGAAAGTCCGTCTACACGCCTTTTTTTTATCTTCAGCGTAAACACATTTCTAATAAATTAATCGATTAAATCAGATTCATATTTGCCCGTGTTTAAGCTTTCAAACTGCTAAAATAATTTTTAATAGCACCATCGAATAGAGTATGAGATGTACTGTACAGTGCTTTAACTAACCGATCGGTAAGGATTTCCGAACAGACTCTTTGACAGATGTCTACTGGTAACTGAAATAGAATCTGGAGGATAAATGGTATCGTATAAAGCAGTAACAGCGCTGTCTTTTCGGACGATAAAGCAAAATAAATGATGCCGCTTCATCATTAATCATTCGATCTTGAATTTGTGAAACGAAAAATTTGCTTTGTCTTAAATATTTCTAAGGCAGAAAGTACTTATCAGTAACCTAAACCAAAATCAAAATCATATTTTCTACCAATTTCTCTACATAAATAAATTTATTTCTGTGTGTTTTGTATGAGCGGTTTGCAGTGGCCAATGGCCGAGTGGTTGCGATGGCAGCATACTGCTCTAGGAGACCCGAAATCGAACCTGGATGGGCCGAAAAACTCAAGGATTTTTGCGGATATGTCGGAATGCCCGGCCGCCCTATTATGGGCCATGCCAAATTCGTATTGGTTTGCTTAAAACGTCCTCATAGTGCTTACACTCCAGAAAGATTTAAATTCTATTTAGACGCAAACGTTTGATGTCACGATAAGATAGCCAATCAGATTAAAGATACGGTAAATTAAAATTTGAAAAACTAAACATTAAATTTATGTTACATATTAAATATTCGCTTATTTATTACAATTAGTATTAAAATAGATAGTAGATGCTAAATTGTAATAAATAAATAGCCCTTTTTTTTATAATTATGCAAGTAAAACACTTCTTAATTCGAGAATTAGTCAGCAGATGGCGCTTCTCCTTTATTTTGTATCTTTTTAAGGAATAAATTATTCAGAAATTAATTATATATAAGCGCGATTTGAAATGAACCGTATCGCGGAATTGCTCCATTGCAGAACCAACAAGATTCGAACGATGTAAATTTGAAAAAATGCCAGCATCTCTAACAATATTCTTAAATATTTCCGGANATAATATTACCAATATCATAAAAAATATATGCATTTTATTTGCTTAGAAATATTTTAGAATAAATTTTGATGTAATAAAAATATTTTTCAATGATTTATTCATGAGAAATATATATATGTGTATGTATATATATAAACTAAAATCGAATAAATGATTCAAATCAATCTCTTTCGAGACACTCGCCGGATATAATATCAATATTTTATCGAATTTATTTTAGTTTAGAAAATTCTGCGTAGAAAATAACCAGAAATGGGCAAATGTTGAATTCATTTTAATATAATTCATTCAACGAGATGGCAAATTACCGAGAAATTTAAAAATGGCTCACGTGACCAATTTAAAACGATTAAAACTTAATTTCCCGGTCGATTTAACTCTATATTAATAATAATATGGCCTCGACACGTAAAAGTATTTAGAAATTCTTATTACACAATTCCATTATTACGTAACTCGGCATTATTAGCGTACCGACACCTATCGATCGATTAATGAACTATAATTTATAAGCCGTGACATCAGCGGTGACGTGAAATCAATTGTGACGTACGGGATATTTAAAAATTCAAATCGCTAATGATGTTTTAAGCCGTCATCACGACATCAATTAACTAATCTTGCGAAATTTTCGCTTAGAAAACATCTCGGTAGGGGTTGTTCGAGCTTTTAAATATCCAAAGTTTCCGTGTCTTAGAGTTATATACGACTTTCCCTTCGCTCTGCTTGGTTCGAGCCCGACTAACACGCATGCTTGAAACACTTGCCTGGAACATCGCTAAGAATTTTCTATTTATAGTGGGCAACACTTCTGTAGAACATAACGTCTACTACAGCGTGTAGTAGAGCCGGTGACAACTCCTCTCTCTCCACAGAGATCATCCTCTTCGTTGCACGTGATTGTTTTTTTTTTTTTTTTTTTGCACGTCGAACCGATTTTTTTCCTTTTCCTCCTTTTATTTTTCGTTTATTTATTACTTCCTTAAACTGGAAGAATTCGAAATTAATAGTAACTCTAAGAAAATGTCAAAGAAAAAAGGGAAATTTAAAACTTCCCTAACGGACGAGAATATACCTAAGACGAATTTTAATTCGCTGAATAGGTTTCAATTGTCTTTATTGAACAGTGGTCTGTTACCCGCTGCAGAAGCCGAAAAAGCTGAAGGATTATTGCCTTCTAAACCCATGGAGTTTTCTAAGTTTGCCAAACACGTTGGTCTCTTAAGAAAATACGACGTGTTGCTCCGCATCGAATTCCAGGTGAGTGATTGCTAGGCTGTTTTTTTTTTTTGAGTTGCTCCTACCCTACCCGCTCCACAACTTCTGCATGCGCTTACAGAGCGATCCCAGACCTGTTGAGGGATCAAAATCTGAGTTAAAAATATCCCGATCTGTCCTCCTCTCTCGCCTTGTAACATGAATGGAAGAGTGAAGCGCGGGGAAAATTACTCCCTCGAGTCCCTACACGCGATCTGCTTACCTTCTAGTCACGTCCAGGGTATATTTTTAAGTTTCATTAAGCCCGAGAATTTATTAATTGTGGCTCTTCCATTAATCGTGCCTTTATATAAGAGGGGATAAACCTCGCTCCGTAAGCCAAGGTAAATAGATTGAATTCTTGCTATAAAAAGTAATTATTTGTCTGGATTCATCCATATCGTTATAAGTGGTTTATCGATTAAAAAGCCAGGTGAGAGAACAGAAAATGTCATTGATCGGTTAAAACTTCCATCTTCGGTTACTGCCTGTATACTTGGTTTTTTACTATTTATTAAAGAATTACGTTGTTATTGAAATTTATAAACATTGTAATTCTCGAGGAATTGTTAATTTACAAGTAAATTCATGAAATAAGTAGAAAAAAATGCAAAAATTTATGCATTTTTAGAGGGAAAAAATCAATGACACCGGTGAACGCCGGGTCAGGAAAGTCTATATAAAGCGATGTTTTATTAATTTGTTTAAAGAGTCGCTGCTTTTTATTTTATTTTACTTGTTAAATGCTGAGTTTTTCGAATAAAAGACCAAAAAGAAAAAAAAAATTATAATATTGGAATATTAGTGGATTAAAGAAGAGCCCTTCTGGCAAAGAATTTCTTGGCAACTTTTATAATATTCTAGAATTACTTATGACGTCATTCTGATCATATAGTTGTCCTTCTAAATGTTTCTCACATCAAGGAGTTTAATTTGTCGAAACATTAACCATATTAGTGCAATTAATATGAAGTACAGTACATAATAGTTTATGAAAATGAGAGCAAATTATCGTTTCATTGGACGAAATTTTAATTTAACAAAAATATTTTATTAACAGTTGTTATTACCATTTAGAATTTCTGTTATTATTTTTTTAAATATATATTTACCAAAATATATTTTAAAATGTTTAACTTGTTCAACAACTTTATTTTGACCAATAGAATTGATGACTTCGCTATCGTCTGGCAATGCGAAACTGTAATTTTTATATTTACGTAATTTAACGTTTTTCTAAATTAATTAATACAAATTAATAACTGTAAAATAATAACTAAATAGTTTTATATATAAAAAGATTCATTTGAAATATTATTAAATTCAAATATTTAAAAATTTAAAATGTTATTCGTCCCGAAATTTAAACTTTAGCACCTAAAAATTGCAGATCAATACTTCATAATTATTCAATATTTTTCATATTTAATATTTTAAAAATATATAAATTTCGATTTATTATTAAATACAAATAAATTCAAATTTTAAACCAATCACGTAGACGTATTTAAAAAAAAAGAAAAATAATCTAACATCGGTTTCTACTGGATGAAATTCAAAAAATCGATTTCAAAATTGGTTTCTGCAAATATAATTTTTCGAATAAACGAATTTAATTTTAAAATAAATTATAATAATATAACAAATTTTAAAATTTGAATAATTAAATAATATAAATTTATGTTTAATAAAGTTCAGTGGAAGATATTTATAAATTCTGATAAAATTTTATGTTACTTATGAATATTAATACAAAATGGAGGCGTTTATTTAATAGTATTGTAAAATTATGGTCTGAAAATCCCTTAAAATTTATCATTTTTCAGCACTTACCCGATAATAATGACGCCATTTTACGATTTAGCATTTATAATAAAGGCATTTTAAGTACTGTTATCTATTGGCATATATAATAAAGATATTTTAAATAGCATTAATTCAGTTATAGCGTGCTTTTTCAACGCATTCTACCATCATAAATGCAATTAATTCGCGTCATATTGTACTATTTTCGAATCAGTAGCCTTTCGTTATTTTTATTATTGCTTGAACGTATTGCAATAAAAACAAGAGGAGAAAGTAATTTGGACATACAGAAGAATTTTTTTCTGTATATGAAAAGGATAAAGTTTTTCCCCCTCCTATCATTGCCTTTTTCTAACTTATTTTATATAAAGATTTATCATTACAACATATATATTGTGAACCGGTAGCCATTATCTTATAAATCCTTTATGCTTGTCTGAGACAAAACTAGATTTTTATATTGTTTTTAAGAGAAAGTTTTAAAAGTTATACAGTATTTTAAATAAAATTTTAACAGAGGAGAACTTCAGTAAACAGCGGCGAGTCATAATTTTCTTCTTGTTACATAGCCACGTTTAACAGAGAAAACTGCGAAAATACTGTTTAACAGAGGTGAAATCCAGTAAACAGTGTCACGTCATAATTTTTTTCTTATTACGTAGTCACGTTTTAACAGCGAAAACTGTAAAAATACTGCATAACACAGAAGTTCGGTAAACAGCGGCGCGTCATTATTTTCCTTTTATTACGTTCAACGATAATTTAAATTTATAATCAGAGCATTGATAAATTTTGTGTAAACAAATAGTTTTAAATAATATTGTAGAATATATTTGATTAAAAATTGTTTTAAATTTAAAAAGGCAGAATACTTATTGAATAAAATTCAATTCAATGTCTAACATGTAAAGAAATGACAGAAGGGATTGCGACTTTTCACATTATTCATCCATTCTGCCTGAAAATCCTCCACTTCCGATTCATCCATGTTAATCAACTGCTGGTCCTCCTCTATCTTCCCGGTTCTATAGTCTTTGCGTTTCTCCAAAATTCGAGATTTTTTTCCCAGACGATAGCCGACACTCATCTTCTCGGTTCTCGTTCTCGAATCTCTGACACGCTTTCTGCTATGTCCCGCTCCTACGGGCCCCTCGTAATTTGACACCGACGCCTGGTACATTTCCGGTTCTTCGTTTCCCTTCTTCTGGTATGTCATCACGGAAGAAGTGGTGAAAGTGTGGCAGTCGGTCGTATCTGTCGGAAAGCGTGGAGAAGGAACGTCAAACGGTCGGAAGCGCGATTTGAAATGAACCGTATCGCGGAATTGCTCCATTGCAGAACCAACAATATTCGAACGATGTAAATTTGAAAAAATGCCAGCATCTCTAACAATATTCTTAAATATTTCCGGAGGATCTGGCTCTTGAAAGAACGGATCATCTTTGAAAGGTTTCAGGAAGTTGGAACCAAATCAATCAGATCTTTCCTTATGCGATTTTGAACCATGTTTTCTCTTTTTTGAAACAGACATCTGGAAGGGTAAAATATAACAAGTTACTTATGAAGTACTGTATTATTAAAATCGCAGTGCTACAGCATAAACTAAAGTGAATATTGCTCTTATAAGCGCCATTTTGAATGGTTTTCTGATTCAACAATAAAAAGCTATATCCTAAATCACGTGACACTCAAACATTTAATTGGCTGATTTTAAATAACGATTCGGTATAAAATTTAGAACCTTTAACGTTAGGCGTTATTTATATTAACGTTATTTAAATTTTAAATTTCTCCGTTTTTTAATAAATTAAATACGGAATATTATTTTAAAATTCCATTTAAAAAACGTAGAAAATTCAAATGCGTTTTTAATTTTATAAAATTCAAAATATAAGANTACACGCGTATAAGTTATATATAATTGTACAAAACAATATTCTACATCGTTCTGGCCCAGTGCCAATAAAAACAAAGTGACCGGACAATGTTAATTTTGACAAAAAGTAACGAATTTTCAACTTTAAATGTCAGTTAAGATAAAAAAAAATTTTTTTTCTCATTCGCTCAGCGGGGCCGATGAGACGCCTAAACTATAATGGACGACGTGTTTTGGAATCCGGGTCAAGGTCACCGGAAGAAATAAAACTAAACGATTGTTTGCCTAAATAACTATCGTAGTTAAATTTATACAAGATTTTGCTGGTTTTAATCAAAAAACAAGAAAATTTTTCCCTGCCGAGCTTTGGTTTTATTCCCCCCTCAACATGAAATCCCGAACTACCAGGTATAAAGGTGAATGACCTGATGCCTTTTCTCTATCCCTTCGTTAATCGATCAAAATGCAGACTCACTGACATTCAACCCAGGTAAACTATCGGCATCGCTGATACATATACGTACAAGAAAATGGGATTTGTTTTCTCTTTTTATTCAATTGAAAATCGAAGATATGTCGGGAATTGGGCACATTTTTTTCTTCTTCTTCTTCTTTTCTCCCTCCCTCCTTTTGTTCATATTTTACTGAATTGTTATTTTAAGAGACGTCTCTTCCGGATTTTCGACGTGTAAACATGTTTATTTTTCTACTTGCCATCGTGTGAAAATGCTTTTAAATTTCGTGTATTTATCGGAATTTAATTGTTCGAGATGGCGTGCTAGCCGACGAAACGTAATAATTCCGTCATCGATTACGTATCTCAAATTTAAACTCGAATCCTGTGACGTAAATTAGAATCCGTTGCGCTGATTGATGGGTAATAGGAAGAGAGCAAAATGTCATCGATTTTTGTGTTTATTACTAATTTTAAAAGTTGTGTGTATTGCTGCTCGCGGATTGGTGACGTAGTCGACTTCGTTTTTTCTTTTTTTAAATTAACCAATCGTGTTTATTAAATAAAAAATTAGACGTCACGAAAATTATTTAAAGTCTTGCACATTATAAATATGTTCATCTAAAGAATACATTACAAAAACCCTTTGGATTGGACTATTTATACACGGCAACGCGACATTTGGGCGAATTTTCTAAGGAAACTGGCTTTTACTTACGTGTTACTCACGTGAAGAAAACCCGCAAAATTCCACGGGGCCAACCTATTGGCGAGATGCGAACATGACCCTTTCTATAGGAAACTGGCCCCTATTTAGGTGGTTTACTAACATGAAAAAAGCTCCAGTAGCTCGCTGATGAGGCGCAA